TAATCATTTTGTGTATGTGTGCCCACATGGACGCACGCATGTGTACATATGTCACAGGAAGCATGGGGCGTCAGTTTTCTCCTTCCAGCATGTGGGGCCTGGGGGCCAAACTCAACTTGCCAGGCTTGGCAGCAAGCGCCCTTACCCACTGAGTCATCTTACCCATGTGTTTGCTTGTGAGGCGCTGCCTCATTCTACGGTCCACGCTGGCCTAGAACTCCTGCCTCCCACAAGGGTCTCAAGCTCCCAGCACTGCTCCTCCTCCTGGGATTACACGCATGCGCCACCAGGCCAGGCTCACATCCTATTCTGATTGTTTTCTTCCAAGCAATGGATTTAGGTCAGCCTCCCAGACGCCCACAGGCACAGCGAGAGGGAGGGAAAGTGGTCAGGCGAGGGTTTTCAGCTTCCAGGGGATCAAATCAACAGATACTCAGCTGATGGGGTTGTTTGGGAAGTCAGCCAGCAGAACAACAAAGAAAAGCCAGTTTGACCCCAAGGCCCCGTCACAGTTAGTGAACCAACAGAGGATATGTCTCCCCAGGCTGGGTGACCGGCACCTGAGTCTGAATGGTCATCGGCACGGGCCTCCTCGTCCCTCCTTCTGTCTCTCTCCCTCTCCCTCCCTTCTCTCTCATCTCTTCTCCGTGCGCTACCCACCCCCAACACCCCCAAACTCTCCTTGGCTCCAGGTTGAGTCACCTCCTAATGGGATGTAGCTTCAGAGTCCTAGGTAGACTTGGTGTGTGTGTGTGTGTGTGTGTGTGTGTGTGTGTGTGTGTGTGTGTGTATGGTGTGTGTGTGTATGTGTGTGTGTTCGGGAGGGGTGGTATGCACACACCTGTGCAGTGTTCACGCAGAGCCCACCGAAGGACATCAGGGGGCCTCCCGTGTCACTCTTTTGAGGCAGGATCTCTCCCTGACCCGACACCGCAGGGTGGTTTTTGTTTTGTGTTGTGTTTTGCTTTTTGCCTGGGCCAGCAGCTAGCAAGCCCCAGCCCTTCCTGTCTCTGACCTCACAGCATTGGGGTGACAGGTGCTCATGAGACCTCGTGGTTTGTTCTGTGGGTGCTGGGATCTGAGCTTAGACCTTCAGGCTTGTGGAGCAAAGTACTTCACTGGTTGAGTCATCTCTCAAGCGTCCTGACCCCACCCCACCCCCACACTAATGTACTGGAGACGCACGCACACACACACACACACACACACACACACACACGCACATACACCATACACACACACACACACGCACATACACCATACACACACACCACACACACACACACACACACACACACACACACACAGAGCGCCTTTTTATCTCCCTGAAAAGAACAATGTGCTAATTCTAGAGAATTTGGAAAATCCAACACACCAAAAGACAATAGGTAGCATGTGGTCCTGTTGTCCGTTTAAAAACGTCTTTCAGGGTCGGCTTGTAAGTTGATGAAGAACTCAAGGACCATTGTTTGCCAAGTGTGGGCCTCCAGGCACGTTACTTGACTTTCTGTGAATCAGTTGCTTTGTTTATAAAAGTGTTCCTCGTTCAACATTTTTAGTGTTCTATGTATTACGGAATTTTTTTTTTCGCTGATTCTCTTTCGTGATGTTGAAACATGTATTTTGATCAGTGAATCTTTGAGGTGCCCTCAAGTTTCACATTTGCCCCCTGACCCCATGCAGCAATAGTGGGCACCATGCCTGCTGACCTCTGCGCCTGACCTCTGACCTCCTCAGCCTTCTTCCAGAGCTGGGAGGGCTGGGGTGCCTGCAGCTCCGCCTGGCACTGCTGCAGAGAAAGGCTGCCTGCTGAATCTCTGAGGCAGTGCAATTAGCATGCGGGGAATATGCAAATTGAAGCAATCCTGCTGTTTTAGAGAAACTTAATATGCTTTTTAAAAAGATAGGGTGAAAGGCAGAAATTGCAGGAAATGATATATCTTGGGAGCGGGTTTTATCTTCCCTGCCACTGATTCCCACGGCCTCCCAGACTGGGAACAGTATCTCTTGGGCTAGGAGAGTCCCAAGCCAGCCTCAAATCCCCAACGCCGACCCTCACAGGAAGCCTGGGATCCAGGCCATCAGCCCCGATCTCCCTGCCTCTTCTCAGAGTCACACTGTGTAAGAGTGCCGCCCATCTGCTGACTGCACTGATGGGGAGCAGGAGGTTCAGACCGTCCCCCCTCCCCCAGTCGTCGTCGCTCCCCCCGCCCCCCACCCCGGCACAGGCTGCCGTGCAGGTCGGGGATAAGGCTCGCCCAGCATGCGCCAGGCCCTAGGGTTCTGCCCTCATCACAGGGCTGGGACCTTGAGCCATTCCTGCCCCGAGCCTTTGCTTTGGTGACAGGCTGGAGGACCTCTCTGAAGATCTGACTTGTCTTCAGGGGTCCTGGGAAGAGACACAGCAGTCACAGAGGGCTCTAGGCAGCTGTCCCTGGGTGTGCATTGTGTGTGTGTTGGAACCGAGATGAGCCTGCTGCGGCCTCACTTAGCTCCCATAGACAGGAAACCTGCTGTCACACTGTCACACCCTGCCTGAGCTTTCCACCTAGAGGGAGTTCAGAGCCTGCCTTTTTTTTAAAAAACTAGTTTGCACAGAGGCCCTTCTAAATGGATTTTCACACTTCTCTGCCTCCTCCACTGGAGGTTATAGAACATAATTAAGCTTACCTCGGGGATGCAGGGTCATTGTTTAGAATTTCGGTTACGCGGCTCTGGAGCTGCGCTGTGCGGCTTCCGGCAAGGGTGTTACCCTCTCTGCGCTCCCACCTTCCTGGTCTTACTGCTGTTTCTTACACTATCCGTGTTGCTCGTGTATGTGTATGGGTGTGAGTGTGCATGGTAAACGTGGAGGTCAGAGGACAACTTGCCGGAATTCCTTCTTTGCTTCCACTGTGCGGGGTCCCTGGGATTGAATTTAGTCAGCCTCTGTGTGTGTGTGTGTGTGTGTGTGTGTGTGTGAGTGTGAGTAAGTGTGAGTGGTGTGTGTGTGTGTGTGATAGGCTATCACTATGTATCCCTCCCTGGCTGGCCTGGAACTCTCACTACATAGACTAGGCTGGCTTTGAACTCACAAATCTCTGCCAGCCTCTACCTCCTGAGTACCGAGCTCCCTCGAGACCAGTGCTACCTCACTGAGTTGTTGACAGGATTAAGGCACAGATAGAAAGATATCGGTGTGGAGGCAGCCCAGTGGGTGAAAGTGCTTGCTGTGTAAGCCCTGAGGGCCTTAGTTTGAATTCCCAGAGTCCATACAAGAACCGGACACTCCGTGTGAGCAACTGTCATCCCAGGGTTCCTACAGCGAGGCGGGAAGTGACAGGCCAGTCAGAAGCTTCAGGGTCAGCCAGCAGTGGCTTCAGGGTCAGCCAGCAGTGGACCACAGAGGCTGTCTCAACGAGGTAGAAGGCAATTAATACCTCAGTTGCCCTCTGCCTTCCAGAAGCATGCTCACACACACACACACACACACACACACACTCACACACATACACCTATTGCAACAAAGCCACACCTCCTAATAGTGCCGCTCCCTATGAGGGGCAATTACAATTCAAACCACCACGCCCTGAGTTTATGGAGTAGATGCTGCCAATGGCCCCTGTTTGAGAGATGGTGACACTGAGCACAGAGAGGGGAAGTGCCCCAGGTCCCATAGCAGGGAAGGAATGTGGCTGTCTCAGGCGGTGTCTGTGCTCTCCGAGCTGGCGCATGGGCATGGCTCGGCCTCCCCACTGTCGCTTAGCCTCGTGGCGGTTTGCACCTGCATCTCCACCGAGGCCGTGTGGTCTTCACTGGCCATTCACCTGCAAAAGCGAGGAAAGAGAAGCTGATGGACAGCAGGCTGGACTCCAGGGTCCAGCACAGCGGAGCTGTCGCTGGGGAGGCCACACAGGGCTGGGTGAGAAGGTGGACATTGACGGGATATCTGCCAGGCCTGACCAGGGTCTGCCGCGGCTGGGGGGGCGGAGCCCTGAATGGGAAGAGTCTGGGGGGGCATAACTGAGGAGTGGGGGGAGGGGGCCTGAGTCCTGAGGGGTAGGGGTTGGGTTAGCCTGAAGAGGAAGCCTGAGGGAGCCGAGTCTGAGAGGGGTGGGACCCTACGGAGGAGGGAGGCAGGGTCCTCAGAGGGCCTGGCTGCCTCTTTGCAGTGATGTCAGGGCAGTGGGGCAGGGAGGCTGGTCTGGGGGGGTCCCAATTAGCTGTGCTAGATGAGATTTGAAAGCCTCTTCTTATCCACCGTCCCCTTCCCCACACCCCACCCACCCGTCTCCCACTGTGAGCCTTGGACCCTGATTTATTCCTTGTCCCAACCCCCGTATGCCCTACCGCCTTAGAGTGTCCTGCGGGAGAACACTATGTTAGTGGAAGAGGACGCCTAGCTTCGAGCGTCCTCTAGGAACCACATGGGGCGTTGTGGGCAGTGCCAGGCTTTAGGGTCAGCAGGCCACGCTCAGAATGGCCTTTATTGCCGTGTCCCCACGGTACGAACTAGGAGAGTTACACATGGAGCACTTCATATCCTTGACCTCCTGTGCTGCTCACTGACACCTGTGAACTCCAGCGAGGGGAACCAGAGGCTCTTCGAGGTTTCCTGCCTTCCTTGGGGTCACATAGCTCCAAGTCGGGAGAGCTAGGGTTCGAACCGAGGGCAGCTTCAGATCCATCTGCTCCTCACTCAAGTCGCTGGGCCTCTAGGCCTATGCACTGCTGACTGCTGGTGAAACAACTCCTCTGGGCCACGGGTTAGCCAGGGGCGTGTGCCAGGCTTACTTAAGATGCTGCCTTGTCTGCCGTGTGGTGGCGGCCGCGGCAGCGGTGACACTTGGAAGGCAGAGGCAGGTGGATCTCTGCATGCCAGCTCAGTGCGAGCCTGGTCTACAGAGTGAGTTCCAGGACAGCTAGGGCTACACAGAGAAACCCTGTCTTGAAAAACAAAGCACAAAACAAAACAAGCTACCCTTGCCTGTCCCTCACCACCCTGTCCCCCCTCTCTCCAGGATGTGGCCACAATGCAGTTCTGTGCCAACAAGCTGGACAAGAAGGATTTCTTCGGGAAATCTGACCCCTTCTTGGCGTTCTACAGGAGCAATGAGGATGGAACGTGAGTTCCCATGGCCCAGCCCAAGGCACCTGTGCCCCAGACAGAGCTGGGAGGGTGTGGTCACCCCCGGGGGGCCCCTGCTATGTGGAGCTGATGCCCTAAGAAAGCTAATGTGGGGACGCTCAGCAGTGGTGGGTGCTGTGTATGCCCTGGGCAGTGTGCAAACACAGGGTTAGGGCAGAAACGCCTCATTCTGCAGCAGCCCCACCCCTCACGATCCCAGAGCGCCCTCAGAGGTTCCCCAACTGCATATCAGACCGGGCAATGCTGTGACTTTTCCCCACGGGGCGGCCCCACCTTCTTCCAAGCATATGTTAAGAACTACGGAGTTGAAAGGAAGACCCTACTCCCCCTCCCTTCTCATTAAGCTAGATCTAAGGGAAACATGCACCGATGTAGGTCAGCAACACAGAAAAAGACCCTGGCGGAAGATCTGAGAACCTAGGTCCCCTGCCAACTGCCGCCACCACCACCAAACGGCTCTGTGACCCCAGGGCAAGTCAGGCCCACTCTCTGGGCCTATTTTCTCGTCTATGAAATGAAGCAGTTGGATGAGGGGGTCTCCGTGGTCTCCTTAAGCAGCCGGTTCTGGGATTCTACAGAAGGCGGAAGTGATGAGGGCAGGAGGGTTAATTGGAGAAACTCGAGCCAGGAAGAAAATGGGTCCTTGGGGTGGAGCGAGGCTGCTTGACGAACCAGAGAGCCAACCTTGTACAGAGCTAGAGCCCAGGGCACACTGGTACCTTGTGTTGAACTGCCAGTGTGTGCACTAGTGGGCTGTGTGTGTGTGTGTGAGTGTGTGTGTGAGTGTGTGAGTGTGTGGTGTGTGTGAGTGAGTGTGTATGTGTGTGTGAGTGTGTGTGGTGTGTGTGAGTGTGTGTGAGTGTGTGGGGTGTGTGTGTGAGTGTGTGTGAGTGTGTGAGTGTGTGGTGTGTGTGAGTGAGTGTGTATGTGTGTATGTGTGTGTGAGTGTGTGTGAGTGTGTGTGAGTGTGGTGTGTGTGTGTGTGTGTGTGTGTGTGTGTGTGTGTGTGTGTGTGTGTTGGGGGCAGGGAAGCAGCAGGCAAGAGGTGTATTTCAGTGCAAGAAAAAACCCAATTTTTAAACCTGAACTACTGAACAGGAAATTAGGTGTGATCATTTGCATGACAAAGGGCTTTGTCTCTCAGAGAACTCCCAACGGGGGCTCTTTAAATATTCCTGAACATTCTGACTTGTCTTTAGTGGACGGAAGGAAAAGGAAAAGGAAAAGGCTCTGGCTGGTTGCTCTACTCGGGTGTCCATGTACTGTCCCCTCCGGAGAGGCGGAGCCCTGGCTCGTAGGGCCCTGGTGGAGGGCGGGAGGGGGTTGGGAGCAGGAGAGCGGCGCTGGGAGGGCTGTGTGGGAAGGATCTGGGGTTCGTGACTGTGACTGACGCGGAACGGGATCGGGTGGGAGGTGCTCGAACTGAGCTCAGCTGTGGGTGGGAGCAGGGCAGGGAGGGGACAGAGGAGCATCATGCAGACCTGTGGGGACCAGCACTAAGGCCTTTTCCTGGGGGTAGTAGAGCCAGGGGATCCCTAGTGCTGGGGATGCCAAAGGAACTGGTCCAACGGCTGTGGCCTTGGGAGTTATTTGGGGAGTGTCACTCGGGTGTGATGGAGCCTGTGGGGAGGAAACCATGATCCCTGGGAGTCCTATGGGTACTGGAGAAATTGTCCGTGGACCACAGAGTGGTGACCAGTGCCCTTGTCCCCTCAAGGCAGACACTGAGCTAGAGAGGAAAGGTGATCATCCGGGTGTGAAGAGGGGAGAGGGTGGGCCAGGGACATGAAGGGTCATCAGCCAGGGGGCGCTGCAGGCTACTCTGGCTACGCTGGAGCTGTTCCAGTCTTGTTGCCCGCCTGCCCCTCCAGCCCATCCAGAGGTTACAACCAAGCTGCCTGCTGGTCCCTGGCCTGGCATCAGTAGGTAGGTACAACCTAATAATTTTAGGCAGTTGTAACCCCACAGGACCTTCTAGAATGCTCCCTGTCTGAATGGCCACTGTATCACTTCTCCTTTAGCTGTGATGAAATACCCTGACAAAAGCAACTTCAGGAAAGTTCTGTTTAGCTCACAGTTGGAAGGTGGGGAGGTCAAGGCAGCAGGAGCAAGAGGGCCACATTGCATCACAGGGGGAAGCAGAGCGTCCCGGTCCAGGAAATGAGTGGGGGCGTGTGTCTGTGTGTGTGTGTCTCTGTGTGTGTCTGTGTACATGTGTGTATGTCTGTGTCTCTGTATGTGACTGTGTACATGTATGTATGTCTGTGTGTGTCTCTGTGTGTGACTGTGTACATGTATGTCTGTGTGTGTATGTCTGTGTGTGTCTCTGTGTGTGACTGTGTACATGTGTGTATGTCTGTGTGTGTCTCTGTGTGTGACTGTGTACGTGTGTGTATGTCTGTGTATGTATGTCTGTGTGTGTCTCTGTGTGTGACTGTGTACATGTATGTGAGTATGTCTGTGTGTGTATGTCTGTGTGTGTCTCTGTGTGTGACTGTGTACATGTGTCTGTGTGTGTCTCTCTGGATGTGTGTGTCTATCTGCCTCTGTGACTGTGTGTGTGTGTCTGTATTCATGTCTGTGTGACTGTGTATGTGTCTGTCTGTCTCTGTGTCTGTGTATATGTGATTATGCATGTGTCTGTCTATGTGTGTGTGCGTGTGTGTGTGTGTGTGTGTGTGTGTGTGTGTGTGTGTGTCTGTGTCAGAAGATAACTTTTGGGAGTCTGCCCTCTCTTCCCACCATCTGGGTCCTAGGGACAAGTGCCTTTAACCACCAAACCACCTCCTCAGCCCTAGCCACTCTTCTTATACTCATTTTCCATCAAAGGACACTCAGGGAAGATTTGCCTGGGGACACACAGCTGGCCCCAGGGCTGGGACTCAACATCTGCCTGACAGATGGGTGACGCTCTCCCCTATCCATGCTCCATCTGTGTGTCAAAATGAACTGTCTACGGGGATCACTTGGCATAGCGGAGCCTGGTACCTACCAGGCAAGGGCAGCCGAGGAGTTAAGAAGCCTGTGGAGCTGATGGTGGGGACAGCAGGGTTTAAAGAAAGCAGCTAGTGCCTGGGACAGAGGCAAGACGACCCAGGCTCCAGGAGGGAACGTGGAGGAGGGAAGCTGGGCTGCAGTTTAGGAGACCGCTTGAGCTCTTGCGCCGTGAAGGAAGGATAGAGGTCTGTGTGGGAGGACTGAGGCAGCGGGGAAAAAGTCCACCCTTTAGTGGAATGTTCCAGGGTAGATCCCTGAAGCCCAGGGTGCCTCTGCAGTCTGACTCCCCACTGGTTAGCTGCCCCCTGTCACTCTCTGTTACCCTCAGTCACCTACCCCCGCCTCAGGCATTGGGCCCCTCCTGCCCCATGCCCGTCCCCTCCTCCAGCTCAGGGGTTAGCTACAAGGTCTCCCACGTGGATCTCGCACTCCAGTGGGTGGGTGAGGAGGAGCACAGAAAGAACCGCTCAGCCTGGTGACAAGAATGACATTTTGACTTGAAAATTGCCGAAGAAGAAGCAGTACAGGCTGTGTGGGCTCGGGTGGGCCCTGGCGCTTCCTGGTGACCTTTCCAAGCTGGAATGTCTCTGGGGTGGGAGAGCTTTGCCCGGCATCCTTGTGGCAGGGCTGCTCCTGAGACAGGTGGCTAGCTCCACGAGGGGAGTGGGCAGGACACCGTGTCAGGAGAGCAGAGACAGCCCATCCCATGGTTAAGAGAGCAGGTTCTTGGGTTCCATCTGGAGATGCTCAAGGGTCTCATGTGGCCCAAGGAGAGGGTTTTGCCTCTACCTGACTGAAATGCCCACAAAAGCTATAGAATCGCTCCCCAGCGATGCACAGTTCCTGCTTTTTTTTTTTTTTTTTTTTTTTAAAGACAGTGTCTCACGATGTAGCTTTGGCTGGCCTGGAACTCAGAGAGGTCCAAAGATGTGAGCCACCATGCCTGGAGGCTCCTTTTTATTTTATTGTTTTTTTGTTGTTGTTTTGTTTTGTTTTAGCAGGCTCTTGGGCTGCCGTAGCTAGAGCTAAGTGCTATCAAGCATCTACCTACTGAACATGCCTGGCCCTCATCAGTTCCTTTTAAAGTTTGACTGGAAGCCGACAGTGGTGGTGCTGCCTCTAATCCCAGCACTCTGGAGGCAGAGGCGGGAGGATCTCTGTGAGTTCAAGGTCAGCCTGGTCTACAGAGTGAGTTCCAGGACAGAACAAGGCTAAACAGAAAACCCTGTCTTGAAAACCAGCAACAACAAAAGTATGACTTAGGGATGGCTTAGCCATCACGAGCACTTCCTGTTGTAGGAGATCTGGGCTTGGTTCCCTGGATGGTTCCTAGTCACCCATTGCTCCAGTTCTAGGAGACCCAACATCCACTACAGGCCTCCACAGGCAACTGCAAAATGTGGTACATATAAACTCCCTCAGACACATACAAAATAAAATAATTTTTGTTTGTTATGTTTTTTTTTAAAGACATTCCTTGGCTGTCCTAGAACTCACTCTGTAGACCAGGCTGGCCTCAAGCACACAGAGACCCGCCTGCTTCTACCTCCTAAGTGCTGGGATTAAAAGTGTGTGCCACCACACCCAGCTACTTTTCTTTTTTTTTTTTTTAATGGTTGATAGCTAGGCATGGTGGCAGTTCTTAGAATCCCAGCACAGGAAAGGTGGAGGAAGAAAGATGGGGAGTTCAAGTTCACCCTAAGTGACATGAGACCCTATCACAAAATAAACAAAAGATGATTATCTACTGAGGCCAGCCATTGTTCTGGGATGCCTCAGTCATCAACATCAGGAACATTATTTGATCCTGCAGACCTTCAGTTTTACTGACAGGTCACAGCACAATGTTTAAAGAGAGAAATAGATGGTGTCAGACAGTGACAAATGCGATGGGAAGGGTAAGCCCGGAAGGAGAAAGACAATGAGTGTCACTGTCAGGGTTTGCACATCCATGCAGTTGGAGAGGGTCCTGGGGGTGATGTCTGGCTGGAAGGCAGTGATGATGAGCGCAAAGATGGACCCAGGGGATGGAGAAGGTATCCAAGGGAGGGGGACATCAGGCATACACTGGCGCATACCCACCCACCTAGGCCTGAGGTTCAGCTCCTGGGCTCCCACGGAAGGAACTGCCCAGAGAGAAAGGGCTTGGTCAGTGTCACACAGGAGACTGGCCCCACGACAGTGACTACAATGCAGGTCCCTGACAGTCCCCGAGAGATACGCTGCTCCAGGCAAGGCCCAGCCTGCTTCCCTGCTGTGTAGCCTGTCTGTGGCTGTGAGGGTGACTCTTCCTGTCACGAGAGAAGGGCTGTGACATTGGCCACCTGAGCTCCTGGCCTGATGCTGTCCCCTCCATTCTTCCTGGCCAGGTTCACCATCTGCCACAAGACCGAGGTCATGAAGAACACGCTCAACCCGGTGTGGCAGACCTTCTCCATCCCTGTGAGGGCCCTGTGCAACGGGGACTATGACAGGTGAGATGCGGGTACCTGGGGTGTCTGGGGTTCTTTATTGCCCTGGGAGGGGCAGATGGCGTGGAAATAAGGAATGAGGGGGTAGAGGCAGGAGGGGCCTATCTCCAGCAACCTCACTCTTGGCCACTGGACTCTGGAATCGGGATTCCAGGGACACTCCTTGACAACCTGGTGGGCATAACTGAGGGGGGTGAGGATGACGGCAAAATTATGAAGCATTTTATCATATTACATGCAGACTGTCCTCTTATCTCCATGCATTTGTGCCAGTGATGGAGTTCTGCCCCTGATTAAGGGAGCTGTTGCAGGGCGGTGGTGGCGCACGCCTTTAATCCCAGCACTAGGGAGGCGGAGGCAGGCAGATCTCTGTGAGTTCGAGGCCAGCCTGGTCTACAAGAGCTAGTTCCAGGACAGCCTCCAAAGCCACAGAGAAACCCTGTCTCGAAAAACCAAAAAAAAAAAAAAAAAAAAAAAAAAGGGAGCCGTCAGCCTGGGCGAGTTCTCACCTGCCAGTCTTTCCACTGTCCTTCCCGGAAGAATGAGCCCGGGAATCCTGCTGACCTCCCAGGGCACGCACGTGAAGCCAGCTGCAAGAGGGATAACGTGCACAGCTAGCATCCTCTGTCTGCTCACTGACTGAGACCCTGACACGTGCTAGCTCCAGCTAGGAAGTCAGCCGGGAGCCAATGTGCCCACCTCACCTCTACCCAGCGTCACTGAGCTTAAGTGTTCGTGGGGGAGGCAGACATTAATCCAGTAATCACACTGAGAAGCATGTCATTACCCACTGCAGAAGGCGCCGGATAGAGCAGGGGGCGGGGAGGGGGGGCGGGTCCGGTGCATGGGTGCCGCAAATAGTATTGGTGGTCACGAAGCCACCTAAGCACGGGCTGCAGAAGTGGGGTGTCTGCTGGCCGCTCCCACAGAAGCCCTGGGGCATCATGACAGACTCCTTGGGGGTGCACTGGGACTCTGCACAGGGTTTCCAAGGGTGTATGGGGGCGGTGAGCAGACGGGTGGCATCCTGGTGCCTGTTTCCCTCTACGGACGCTGAAGGGCGCTCATAAGACGCACGGTGGCCGTCTTTTGTCCTCTTGGCTGGGACAGGAACACAGCAGTCTGTTCCCCAGGGGTTCGGGGTTTCATGCCCAGTGCCTACTCTCTGACTTAGGTGGCATTCAAGGGCAGGTGGCACTCTCTGTCTTCTGGGACCTTCCGGTCTGACCATGGGAGCTCAGGCACACACAAGTTCCGTAGACAGCTTAGTAACTGTGCAGAATGAACTGGGGGACAAAGAGAATGTTGTGGTCCATCAAACCCCTTGTACACGCCTAGCTGGGAGCCAGGGCACCTGGAGTTGGGGAGGGGACAGGATAGCATTGGATTCTAAAGGAGGCTGGGGACAGCTGGAAGGTTGGGGCTGTAGGTACCGGGCAAGAGGCTTGGAAAGGATGGAGAGCCAGGAGAATATGGGAGAGCAGAGGGTAGAGTCACATAAGCCTGCCTCTTTAGGGAGGAGCTCCCAGAACCCAGCTGGATCATATAGATAGACAGGGAGAGGGATAGTGTGAGTGGGGCCTGGGTTAACCACTGGTCCCCTGGAGGAGGTGAGTGGTGGGAAGGGCAGACAGGCCTGAGCCCAGCTCCATCTTCCTCCAGGGTGGCTGGCTCTCCTTCTCCATGGCTGGGCACAAATTGGCTGTGACATGATTGGCAGCAGATGTAATCCATCCGTCAGTGTGTCTGGCTGACTCTTATCCCGGCCTTGTATTGCCCCGAGCACCCACTGAGGAGGCGCTGTGTCAGAGGCCACTGTCCCTCTCCAATCGGCCCTCTGGCAAACTCAGTACAGGGTGTCGCTGTGCCGGGTGCTTTGGGGGCCCGTTGACGTCTCCGGTTGTCCCAGCCGGTGAGGAGGCAGACTGGCCATGATCACAGCTAAGGCTCTCAGTGACACCTTACCTCACACCAGATCTACAGGATGCCCCACGTATGAACTGAGCCCATCCTCCTAGCAACCTGGGTAGAGCTTCCAACATGGCTGTGCTTCATAGATGAGGGGGTGAATCCCAGAGAGGACTGGGGACCGTCCAGCGTCCTGCTTCCAGCCGTGGTGGAGAGAGACACAGGAGTTGGTCCAGGCTGGCTTTAAAAGCTGTTCCTAAATGTCCGTGACAGTGTGACCCAGCACCTGGAGAGACTCAGAGAAACTTTGCTCAGAGATGAGGGCCTTGAGCTCTGGGGACCTGAGATAGGGACACCCCAGCGAGGTCATTTCAATCCTTAAAACATTTCAAGGTCGTCTCAGGTGGTTCAGAGAGGAGAAGGAGCTGGGACCGGCAAGAAGGAAGGTTCAAAAGACCTTGATATCTGGCTGACTGGGGGAGGCAGAAGTGTGCTAAGCTCTCACTTGGCACTCAGGATCGCCAGGGAGGTGCCTAGTGCCAGGGAAGTGTGACAGGGTCAGATTCTTACTGAATAGGCTGCTCTCTGTGGGTTTTCTTGTTGTTTTTTTTTAATCCCAGCCCATAGGCCACCCACAGCCAATTTGGAAAGAACAATCCTAAGGTAGGGGAGTTGTGTTCATGTTTGGAGATGAGCTGTGATTCTAATCCTAGGAAGAATAAGTGTCTGAAGGCCAGGCACAGCTCAAAGGGGAGGGGACAGAGGCCATTTCGGTGAGGCCATAGACCCAGAGCAAGGAGGAAGAGGAGGTGGGATGGGAGGGAGGAAGGGGCTGAGAGAGAGCACTGCCAGGGAACTAAGCAAGGAGAGAGAGCGTGCTGGAAGGCTGGATGTCTGTACTGAGAGCTAGCAGTACCCCAAAATGATGGGGTGAAAGTAGTTCCTGCTGTTAAAATTATGGGATACTTAGGATGTGAGTCACACTAGTCCCAGTTGGCTTACACACTTTTTTTTACGTCGTGAAAAATAGCCTTAGGAGCCTCACTCCTGATGTGCCCATTTCACAGATGAGAAAACGGAGGGTCGAAGTCTATGTCAGAACAAGACAGTGCCTTCCCTTCTGTAGATGCCACCTCTGGGCTCAGCCCGGGTCTGGGGTCCCCCTTGTCACTCTTCCGTGTGTCTCTCTTCTGAAACAAAGCCAAATCTGAATGGCCCAGCTGAGCAGAGCTCAAGTGAGAGGAGGGAGCAGGGTCAGAGCCCCTCCAGCCCTGGGGTGTCAGACAGGGCTCTGGTGAGAAGGACTTCCCTGGTGTCCTCAGAGTCTGTCCTACTGGTTAGCATTCTGTGAGTTGAGGGTTTCCCTGATTAAACCAGGTCCACCCAGGTCAGGCTGCTGTTATCCACTCATGGTGAGCGAACAGATTGTCCAGGTGGGAGCTAAGGGGCAGAGTACTCACCCGAGCTGAGAGTGCTCCACCACCACCGTGGGAGTGCTCCACCACCACCTCCAGCCGCTCGCTTCTGTGGCACCACGACACTGAACGGTGGCATAGGGAGGGGCCAGGCACGCTACCAAGTGCTTCGAGCATGGCTGCAAGGGCTTCCATATCAGTCCTGCGTAGCACATGGAGAAACTGGCTTCAGATGGGACAGTCCATGCCCATCTCTCTGCTGCTATGGCGGAGGCACGGTCTTCCCCTCACCACGGTTCCCTCAGAATATCTGTTGGGGAGAGAAAGCCTTGAGGGCCTGTCAGCCCTAGGGCCTTGTGGACAGCACGGAAAGATCCCCCTTCTCCTGCCCCGAGCAGCCGTTAGTACCGCTATGGTTCAGAGATGACTACAGGCTTTATTTTGGGCCACCACCTAGCTCCCAAATTGTGACACGGGGACTTACTAGTTATGAGTGCTTGGCCTTATCCTTGTATTAACAACTTGTATTAACCTGCTTCTCTTCATCTACATTTTGTCTGGGGCCTTTTACCTTTCTTTCGTTCTGTACGCCCTCCTTTCACAGCTGGCTCTGTGTCTGTCTGGCAGCCGGCTGGCTCTGGGTGTCTGGCTGGCCCCAGGAGGGAGTCTCCCTCTCTTCTTCCCCCAGCCTAGATTCCTCCTCCTACTTATTCTCTCAGCCCGCCAGCCCTGCCTGTCCCTCCTCTGCCTACCTATTGGTCATTCAGCTTTTTATTAGACCAATCAGGTGCCTTAAGCCGGCAGAGTGGAAACAGCAACACATCTTTACATAATTAAACAAATGCAGCATAAAGGAATGTCACAGGCTTTACCTTGTTAAAGCAATACTCTGCAACATAGACAAATTGTAACACATCCTTGCCTAGTTAAATATTCTGCAACAGTGTATCCTATGGTTGGTACTCAGGGAGGAGGCCCAGAGATTTCCCCAGCATGCCCACCCTGCTGGCCTCATTGCGATGTGGCTTTGTGGTTTCCCGAGTGTCAGAGGCCTGGGACACTGACCCCTGACCTTCACTCTGGGCCTTGCTCTGGTGCCTCTCTGTGTTTTTGTGAAACCGGGGAACTGTTAGCAGCATAGCCCATTCACAAAGGTGTTATAGGTGATCCCTGCCAGCTGGCAAGTGCTAAGTGCCTCAGAGCTGCCAGGCATCATTCTAGAGGCCAAGCCTATGACAGTGAGCAAAACCAATCATCTCTGACCCGTGGAGGATGTTCTCCCAAACAACAGGATTGTCTGGCGATGAAGAAAAGGCTGAGTGGGCCTGACAGGAGCAGAGCCATGTGTCAGTGCCAGCAGGGTGGCTGGAGACTGTTCACAGAGGAGCAGAGTCTCCTGGGATGGAGCCTGCAGGGCTGCACAGTCAGTACCTGAGGGATTTGGGGCACCACCCTGAGCTACTGTACCCAGAGCGATGCCCTTCCCTGCCCTCCTCATCCCCTCTCCTGGGTCTCTGAGTTCTCAGCCTTTTTGTGCCAAATGGGTGTTGGTTTTATGGGCCATTGAGATCTGTCTTCTTGTCCCTCTCCTACAAGCTTTCTTTTGGGTCTTATAGCTAAGTCTCAGCCAGTCTGACTTTATCCCGCAGAGCCCAGGCCCAGAGGTCCCAAGTCCCATCTGCTGTGACCTGGGCTTTGCAACAGATTGTAGACAGTGGTGACTGGCTTCTCCCAGGCCTTCCTGTGTCTGGGGCTGTTCCACAGGGTCTTCCCTTCATTTCTTCTCCACCCAGGCCCAGGCCAGAAATGCAGCCTTTGAGCTCAGCAGACCCTCCCAGGCTGCAGCAGCCCAGGAGCCTAGGTTGAGGCCAAACTGGCACCCAGGGATCTCACATCCAGCCTCAGCTGCCAGTTCCCGTCCCCTGGGGAGCTTCTAGTTGCCATCCGCCCACATGGCACCCCAGACCTGCTGATTCTGACTCAACCAGAGCGAGGGCCCTGTGCAGTCTGAAGAGGCCTAGCGGTTCCATAGCACACTGGGGCTACTTGGAGGATGTTTGAGAGCCGTTTGCAACCAGAACCCCAGTCAATGCATTAAATCTGGCCCTTAGACTTAGAAATTTAACTTTTTATGACATGCATTTATTTATTGGTGGTGGAGGAAGGCACACCTGTGGAGGTCAGAGGTCAGCTTTCAGGAGTCAGTTCTTTCCTTCTACCCCGTGGATCCCAGGGATCAAACTCAGGGAGTCAGACTTGGCCACAGTGTCTGTCCACAGAGCTCTCACCACCACACAGTCGGTATCTCCTACTGTGTTCTGTGAAAGCAAGGGTCAAAGGGTCATTCTCAGCAGAGTCGTCTGTCTCACAGAAGTGCTAGGGGACCTCCACTAACTACAGGGTGTGTGTGTGTGTGTGTGAGTGTGTGTGTGTGAGTGTGTGTGTGTGTGTGAGTGAGTGTGTGTGTGTGTGTGTGGTGGTTGGTGGTTGGTTTTGGTGTTTGGTTGTTTGTTTTGTTTTAATGGAGTCTCATTATGTAGCCTTGGCCAGCCCAGAGCTTGCTATGTAGACTAGGCTGGCCCCTGGTCATAGAGATCCGCCTGCCTCTGCCTCCCCAGTGCTGGGATTTTATAAAGGTGTGCACAGCCACAAGTGGCTTAGCTACAAGATTGGAGGACAGTCTTCTCATCAACGTTTCAAAAGTAAGTTTGTGGATACCCAGGGCTGTTACCATAACTAGGGGACCTCCGATAGCTTCTAGGCATATGGCTGTAACTTGTCTAGTCTCCCAACAGGCTGGTGGCCAGGGGAGCTGTCTCCCCTGCCAGAGTCTCTTACGGTCTCTGTGGGGAGGAAGATGGGAAATGTAACTAGGTGTTCAAGGGCAGGGAGACTCTCTTTAGCCTCCCGGGCAGGGCTGGAAGGCAGGGACCTGCTGCACTTGTCCTCACAGCTGGGTGACCTCTGCTTCATCCCGTGACAATGGGGAGTGGAGGCCACCAGCACAGGCCAGCTAGTCACCAGTGTCCCTGCAAAACTTCGAAGAGTGGCGGCCTGCATGGACAATGACAGAGCCGCTAGACTTAGATGGCACTGAGGGTATTTCTAGCTCTGTCATTCGGAAATTGCAAAGGCCGGGAGCCCAGGCTCAAGTGTCCTCTGATTTAAGTACATTTATTTATTTGTTTGCTTGTTTTCCAATTCAGGGTTTCTCTGTGTAGTCATTGCTGTCGTGGAACTCGCTCTAAAGAATCCATCCCTCTGCCTCTGCCTCCCCAGTGCTGGGGTTAAATGTATGCACCACCGCCACCCAGATTCAAGTAAATTTCACATGTAAAGGCGTTCATGCATGGTTAGATGAAAATGTGGAAACCAAGAGGCATTTTCTTAGCCCCCCCCCACACACATCCCCAACACACACACACACAGAGTGAGCTATTCAGTAAGGCCCCTACAATCTCCATTTTACAGTCAGGGGTTTTGGCCCAGGGAGGTTTAATGCCACCTCAAGACCCCACGGCTGAGGTCCAGTATCCAAGCCAAATCCACCAGTGTCGCGTGTGGCCTCCTCCCAGCCATTCAGAAGCTTAGGCATGCTGAAGTCTGTCCTTTCACATAATCATCTGGCTCAAGGAACCACACGGTGTGTTTTTATAAAATAAGAATGCAAAGGATGCGTCTAACCCATGTGTCTATGTCTGCTTCATATTGCGTATTGTTCCATTTACAGAGAGCTAGCCCATGCATAACCTTCGGGGCATCCCAGGGTCTATTCTGGAACTTTCTTCTGCCCCATTCTACAAACCTGCACTCTGCCCTCCCACCCCCCCACACACAGGCACATAATTTGAAGATTCTCATCTGAAAGGAGACAGCGCCCTCTTCTGGAAGCTGCAGAACTCCCAGGCTGACTCCCGGCAGGGCTGAGACAGACCACACCACGGGTGGGATAGATGTTAATAGAAGAGAAACCACTTCAGACTGCTTTGTGCGTCCCTCACGGAGCTCAAGGCCAGAACCTCTGCTTCCTGGGTCTCTCTCATCTGTCCTAGACCCCGCAGGTGCTGTCTGGCAGCTTCCCCGTGCCCGGGCATCCCAGAGGACAGAGCAGACAGCACAAGGGTTAACCGGCAACCCTCCACCTCCTTCCTCCTGCTTCTGGTCCGCTAGCCTGTTGCTATGGGAACACGGCTAAAAATAAGATGGGCTCTTATAGACCAGCCCCATGCTTAGGAGTCAAAACAAACTAATTAAAGCAGCCTGGGCTAGAATGTGAAGAAAATCCTACCCTTTACCAGGGGCCAGTCTCAGGGATGGGAAGCTCAGGGTCTGGGGGTCCTTCCTTGACCTGCAGGGCTGGGGGTGTCTCCTCACCACTCACACCCTGAGCCCAGCCCCCTCAGGACCCTGCTGTAGGTAAATGCCCAATTTGGCTTCCTGCTGAGGCTCCTATACCATCTGGGGAAGTCAAGGTGGAATGAACGGAAAGCTGAGGCCGCTTCAGTCAAACCCTTGAGATCTCAAGATGCCCCACTATGGCCGGGTGGTGGTGGCACACGCCTTTAATCCCAGCACTTGGGAGGCAGAGGCAGGCGGATCTCTGTGAGTTCGAGGCCAGCCTGGTCTACAGAGCGAGTTCCAGGACAGCCTCCAAAGCCACAGAGAAACCCTGTCTCGAAAAACCAAAAAAAAAAAAAAAAAAAAAAAAAAAAGCCCCACTATGGCTCTGAGTGGCCTCCAGCCCTAAGATCTTTGCTTAAAAGGTCTCAAGATGGGTCCATGGGTTGCTTTCTCTGCACACCAGCTTGGAACACGGAGGGAACCCATGCATGCGTCCCTCCTGGTCCATCGGTCCTCAGGCCCATCCTACCCAGGGTTCTCTGCTGTTTGTCTTCTAGGACCATCAAGGTGGAGGTATACGACTGGGATCGGGATGGCAGGTAAGGGCAGGAGGCGAGGGGTGTAGAGGCAGGTGAGGAGGTCTAGGGAATCCTGGGAGGGCTGAGCCAGGCCCATCTGGGTGCTCTGAGGGCCCGCCGCCGCCATGCAGGAGGGTCTGCTGTCATGGGAGCTCAGCTCTCTGGAGGTCCTGCAGGCCAGGGTGCCTGAGAGCCCTCCTCTCCCCCACATAGCTACCAGGAGCCAGCCCGTGCCCGAACTCCCCTCACTTGCAGAAGCGGGAAGGCTCTGAAGTGCTCGTGTTGGGGGGCACTCAGCAATCGTGTACACGTTCTCTCTATGTGGCTGAGGAAGACCGGGCTGCAGAGGATGGGTTGATGCCCAGAGATGCCCACAGTCTAGCAGAGGCTCACTTTAAACACAGAGAATAGGCTTGGGTCTAAGAGAATAACTGCAGGGACAGCCACAGCAGGGTGTTTCTAAGGCACAGGAAGGGGACCAGGCGGTGCCTGAGGAGGGCTGGGACTGACCTGCCGGAGGGGACTTCTGCTCGGGGACCGAAGGGCAAGTGTGGCTGGCAATTCCCAGGCAGAACAGGAGCATGCCCCTCAAAGCAGGGGCCCAGAACCCTCGCTGGCTCCCACTCTTCTGCTGAACCAAATGCAGACGTGTCACCCTGGCTTCCTGGGGGTCACTCCTTGCTGGGGTACTACTGATGGGTGGCCGCAGTTGGCTTCTCCCAGATCTGATACGGCCTGGAGTTCATATTATAAAGGGTGCTGTGCCAGTGTGGCTGAGTCAGACCCAAGCCGCGGAAGAATCTCCAGCGCCCACCCTGCCCATGTTAATCCTACCCCTGATTCCCCCCCCGTTCCCCCCCCCCGTCCCTTCCAGCCAGCAGGGTCAGCTCTGCCATGCTTCCGGCTCCGATTGGCTTCATTCCCTTCTAGCAAGTCTCCATACATCTCCTTTACCTAGGGGAACTAGGGACAGCCACCAGGGCCACAGGGGTCCTGCCATCCAGGGACCATCCCCAGATGTCCACAGCTGTGAATCTGTTGTCAACACAGTGCAGAGCCGAGGGGGTGGCTCAGTGGTAGAGCCATCGCCTAGCATTTGGGAGACCCTGGGTTCCATCCTGTACAAAAACTAAATCTATAAAAGCTCTCAGGACTGGCAGATGGCCCAGTGGACAAAGGTGCTTGCAGCACGAGCCTGGCAGCCTGAGTTCAATCCTGGAAACCCACATAAGGCGGGCAGAGAGAACCTACCCCATAAAGTTGTCCTTTGGCCTCCATACGTGCGCGCACGCGCACGCACGCGCACACACACACACACACACACACACACACTAATGACCAGTAGAATTAAATAAACCCCTCCCCCAAACCAAAGTGTATATATCTATGAAAGTGTCATAATGAAATCGACTACTTTGCATAACTTTAAAAAATCAAACTACTGGGGCTGGAGAGATGGCTCAGCAGTTAAGAGCATTGCCTGTTCTTCCAGAGGTCCTGAGTTCAATTCCCAGCAACCACATGGTGACTCACAACCATCTGTAATGAGATCTGGTGCCCTCTTCTGGCCTGCAGTTATACATGCAGGCAGAACACCATATACATAATAAATAAATAAATCTTTAAAAAAAAATCAAACTACTGTGGGCTCACAGCAGGGCATGGCCCCAGGGACACCTGGGCACTCCAGCCGGATGCTGCAGCTGGAGTGCTGAGCACTGCATTCTAGCAAGGACCCTCGGCAGGTGGGTGTGCTGTTTGGTTTAAGTTCTTGTTGCGTTTACTATAAGCACACTCTGGAAAAAGACCCCTGCCACTGGGCTGGATGTCACTCTCATTGTCTGTTTAGGAAATGTTAGTGAGGGGGCCTGCTGTGTTCAAGACCCAGGGTTTCATCCAGCACCATAGGAAGGTTGGGAAAGATCCAACTGCGGCTTCATGCTGTAATGCCCACTGTTCAGGAGGAGGGAGGACTGGAGTTTGAGACCAACCTGGGCAATCCGATGAGAAGCATCTCCAAATGAATAAATGAATGAGACAGGCATATGAGTGGCCATGCCTGTCATCCCAGCACTCTGGAAGTAAAAACAGAGAGATCAGGAGTTCTAGGCCATCCTGGGCCACACAAACCAACTGGAATACACAAGACAATGTCTACAAAAGCCCAAAATAGAAATCAAATAAAAAAATAAAAACAAAGCCAGGTGTTGGTGGCGCATGCCTTTAATCCCAGCACTCAGCAGGCAGAGGCAGGTGGATCTCTGTGAGTTCGAGGCCAGCCTGGTCTACATTAGAAAGTTTCAGGCCAGCCAGGACTACATAGTGAGGCCCTGTTACTGGAAAACCTGTCTCAGTAGGGAGGAGTTAATGAATGCCTTTAAACCCATCACTTGAATTTGACAATTGTTAAATTTCACTGTTTGCCTTATCTATATTTTACTAATGTAATTTAAAGGAAATTCCATCATGGCTTTACCCCTAAATATTTCACTAGACATGTCTAAAGAATAAGCACGTTTCCCCACGTAACTCTGAATGCCATTATCCCACCTGACATATTGAGTGGTAAGGCTTGACTGCCATCCAACACTCACTCTGCAGTGACTGTCCCCAAATGCCTTTTCTTGCTAGCTCGTTCAAATGCGAATCCAAGCATCTCATTCCTCAGGGCCCTGCCTTTTGCCAAGTGGCTTTCTTGGTCCATGAGTAACAGAGAGCTCCCTCCCATATCGGGCTCTCTGTGCCTTGGAGTGGAGGCTCTGGAAGAACAGGGGCAGGGGCGGGGTGGGGGCAGGGCGGGGTGGGGACAGGGTGGGGGCAGGCTGTGGGAGAGGTTAGGATGAGCTAAGGTATTCCTAGCCTGGACCTCCAGGCTCAGCAGCGTCTTCCCTTGTAGCCACGACTTCATTGGGGAGTTCACCACCAGCTACCGGGAGCTGGCGCGCGGCCAGAGTCAGTTCAACATCTACGAGGTGAGACGCACCAGGGTGGGTCTGCTCTTATACAGATGCCGGGCTCGTTACAGTAGTAGCATGGGGGCTCTGAGAGGGGCCGGGGACTCCATGTTGTTTCCCAAGGTGGGTTTCATGTTCCCATTTCACAGAGCCCCCCAGACACATCCATACACCACACACACACACACACACACACATCACACACACACCACACACACACACACACACACACACACACACACACCACACACAGCTAACTTATCTGACTTCCAAGTCCTTTGGCTACATCGTCTCCTGCAGAACACTTCTGACCAGGGATGGGGCCCCACACACATCACAGGAAGAGTCTTCAGGGTCAGTTCCGAGCACCAGAAAGAAAGGAGAGGAGGCTGTGAGTCAAGACCAGGGGTCCTGTCTTGAGAGTGACCCCATGTCTCAAAGCTTGTGGTCTTAACTGGTAGGCCATCCCTCCAGTCCCCATGGCTGTGGGTTTAGGGAAGGACTCTAGTATCATGCATCGCTCTGGGCTACCTGAGCCCCCCAAACCCAAGCAAGGCAAGTTTTACTTTTCCCTGGCCTCCTCTGAGGAGGGTCCTAGCAAAGTGGATGGAGCAGGTAGCTTTCTGTGGGACCTTTTTTTTTTTTTTTTTTTGAGATGGGGTTTCTCTGTGTAGCCCTGACTGCCCTGGAGCCTCTCTGTCTGTAGACTAGGCCAGTCTCGAACTCACAGAGATCCACCTGCCTCTGCCTCCAGAGTGCTGGGCTTAAGGGCCTGGCCAGCTGTGAGATCTTAAGCAAATGAAAACGGGCAGCGTAAACGGCATGGGCTCCTTCCCACGGTCAGTCACTGATCGCTGCCTCTTTGCAATCAACTCGACACGAGCTGCCGCTTGGGAAGCAGTGACTGGAAAAAGCCAGCCTGAGGAGAACAACCAGCCAGCTTCCACAGCCCCACAGGCAGCTTTGAACCCCAGGGGTGTTGCCAGGAGACCAAGTGGGCTCTGGAAGGCCACAGGGTCAAGACTGTGTGAAAGCAAGCTCCTGCCACTCAGCGCCCCATCTCCAAACCTGAAGCCACATTGGCAGGACGCACTTCTGGCCTAGCTGTCTGTGGGGCCCTCCCAGGAGGGCCCCTGCTAAAGGCTGGCTCACCAGCCAGGCCCCTGCAAATACGGCCCCCTCCTCCTGCCAGCCCTGAGACAGACGCCTCAAGTCTCCAACCCGTCAGAGTCATCACCAACACGACCCTCTACCTCCTGAGCTCGCCAGACCCAGACCACCACCACCCTCTCCATGTTGTGGGCTTTGCTATAGTTTCCTAGACTCCTCCATTCTCAGTGACCAGAGTGCTCTGGGTGTGGCCCAAAGGCCTGGCCAGAGGCGAGCTGCTCGCAAGCCCTGTGCCGCCTTGAAGTGAGCTTCTCGTGTGCCTGCTCCAATGTTAAGGCAGGTCTTCTGGCACCGAGAGGTACTGACCCCATTGCTGCAGCCTCCAGCCTGCCCTCAGCACAGCCGAGCCCCCTGGCCTGTAGAGGGAGAGTGTCCTCCTTCCATGAATAGAGACACAATACTCTACGTGCCTGTCCCGACGGTTGGTGATCCGCCCTGCTTCCCGCTGTCAGTCGCTTCTGGACGCTGAGGCCAGTATCCTCTGTATAGCCTCAAGTCTGTAGCTGCCTCCCCAAGGGCCCCCACTGTCACGTCTGATTAATATCCATGGTCCCCGGAGACCCTCTCAGATGCCCCCTCCAGGAAGTCATCTCCACCCACACACCACTCCTCCCCAGGGTGTGCCTGGGGCCCTCCTGAGACCATGAGGTCCTCAGAGGTGGGGCGTTTGATTCCAATTCCCCATAGCCTGGTGCACACGCAGGAAAGCCGACTTCAAAATGGGAAAGGTAGCCTATTGAGTGGGCCAGTTCCTTTTAGCGTCCCCAGGAGGCGCTGTGGCCCTGTGTGGAACATGGCAGCCACTTGTGGCTGGAGAAGAGGTTCTGGGGAAATCCCAGCAGACCTCAGAGCAGACAGGGCGCTAACTCACTGTCCGTTCAGATCTAGCGCCCACTGTTGCTTTAACGTAAAGAAGAGCAGCGTAGCGTCAGAGAGCGGAAATGTGACTACATGTTAATTTGAAGAATATAGAAGGTTTCAAAGAAATGTGTCAGATGTGGTGGTGTGTGGCCCCATCACTCAGGGAGCTGAGGCAGGAGGAATGTGAGTTCATGGCCAGCCTGGGCTAGGCGGTGAGACCCTGTCTCAAAAACAGCAAGTAAAATAAAATGAGACAGAGGTAAATATAAAGAAATCCACACCCCAAGTCCCATTACATGCCCATTCGCTTCTGCTGAAGGGAGACTGGAGGACATTTGGTCCCAGTTGTCCAGACGCTGTAGTGTTGACGCCGCAACTGTCTGGCCACCGGGGCAGCCGGGTGTCAGTGGTGGAGCAGGCGACTAGAGAGGCCCCTCTGTCTGGTTCAGCTTTCAGACCTGACCCCAGCCCCTCCTACACATTCTGCCAGCCCTCCCCTTTGAACCTGTCACTCATTCCTCGAGATGACAGCCCTGTTATGTATGCACCGCTGGCCCGGAGACAGGTTTCTAATCCCGTGTCTACCCAGATGGCTGTGTGACCTTCAGCAAATCACCTGGCATCTCTGTGCTCTGATTTCCCTAGTCTCCAGAAGTGGGCATCGATCCTCGCCAGACCACACACACCGCAGTTAAAGACCTATCCCAGGCCCTCAAGGGAGACACGAGCCGTGCGGTGGAGGGGAAGGGGTTCAAGAGAAGTCAGTAGGTGACCGTGTGGGCAGGAGCTGCCTTGCTCTGCTGATGGGACACCAGAGAAAGCCCAGATTTCCCATGTTGAGCGTGGGGACAGAGAGCTCGGTGTGGCGGTGCAGTGTGTGTCACCAAGACAAGGTGGCCTTCCCCCTGGCCCCAGGGTTTCTCCAGCACTGGTAACATCTACAGCTGGGTCACGGCTAAGGGCCAGCATCCCAACCTCCCACTCTCTCCCCAAGTGGTGACAACCATCTGCAGACTTTAACGAATATCGAGGGTGTCAGTGGCTGTCACTAGCAGAGAGCAGAGACACCCCAAGTCATCCCTGAGCCTACTGCGTGGGACCCTGGCATGGGACGAGGTCTGGTTTGGAAGCTCTCTGCTGTGGGTCAGAGTGGCAGCCCCAAGGGGCACGGGAAGGCAGAGCTGAGGCGAGAAGGGTGTGTGGGCTGAAAGCGAGGCCTAGCCAGCGCAGGCAGGCGGGCGTGGGCAGAGCTAGCTTGCGACACCCAGCTGCTTTGGGCGGGCTTGAGAGTATTGGAAGACAAAGCTAAGAAACTGTCCCGGTGTGTTGGATCCTGGGACCCATGGTTAGCTATGACTCCCAGCTTCCAGCATCCCACAAAGCCTGGCAAAACCCTTCCCCAGCTGTGGTCACACCCCATACCCTCCTGGGCTGGTGCCCAAGCCACACCCAGGGCTGGTAGGAGCCCTGAACCTGCCCTGACTGTTTTCAAACAGCAGCTGCTTTTCCCTATAGGTGATAAACCCAAAAAAGAAAATGAAGAAAAAGAAATATGTGAATTCTGGCACGGTGAGTAGCCCCCCTCACCCCCGTTGCAGTGGTGGTGGGGGCGTTGTCCTGAGTCAGGCTGGAGTGCAGGGGTCCGACCCAGGTGAGTGGGTAGCAGAGTCATCAGCCTGGGGGAATCTCTGCAGGAAGCGAAAGGAAAAGCCAGCATGCTTGTGGGGGATTCCCCAGGCACTGGGCTTCGTGGAGAGAAGCGGAGGCTGCAGGCTGGGAAGTGACTCAGCCAGGGTTACACAGTCTGGAGTCAGGCAGGAGTGAGAACCGCCTTCCACCTGCATCTGCGTGGGCAGCGGGCGGCCCCCGCTTAACTGTTACCACCAGGGTCAACGCCAGTCCTTGGGGGCCGCTCAGCTGGACATTCCCACATTTATCCAGCGGATGTGTGCAGGGCACTCAGCAGTGCCGTGCGGACAAATGACGCACCCAGAAAATGGCAGACCCGAGTCCCCAGTGCTGGTAATTAGGGGAGACAGAGGGCTATCGTATGTGTACCAGTACTCGCATCCGTGAAGTGATCTCTATACGTGTGGGAGAAGTGGTAACCCAATAGAGTAGATGTTGATAATGTCGCAGACACCAACAGCTCGTGCAAAGGTCCTGAGGCAGAGCCCCAGCACTGCGATAGAACAAGCCAGTGTGTTTGCTGTGCAATGGACTCGGGTGTCTGTGGGGAATTGAACGGTGACTGCGGAGGGTGAGGTACTGTTGTAGGCTGTTTCTGGCTGACCGAAAGCCACCTGGGAGGAGGTTCAGTGTCCCCCTGGGTGGGGCTTCTGGGTGGGGCTTCAGTCACTGCCCTCCTGGGTGGGGCTCTCTGGGGCCACCGCACTCAGGCCTTCTGTCCGGTTCTTCAGGTTGAGCAGCATCAGCCTTGTCACAGTTGGCCAGGCTGAGGGGCTGGTAGCATTGTCAGACCCACACCAGCAGGGGCTCCCCCTCTTTCAGGTGCCTCGCTCCTCTCCACGACCAAAAGCCTCTGTGACAGGCTGCCTAGGTGCCCAAAGCCATCGCCAAAGTCTCTGGGGGACAGAGGGTGGGAGGCTTCAACTAGGAGAGGGATCCTGGGTGTCAGGGGCCTGCAGGGAAAGGACGGGCTGCTGAGAGGGTCTTGGGGCTGAAGGGGTAGAGGCTGAATTACACCCCTGAAGGGGAATGGCAGGTGAGGCTGGCGAAGAGAATGGACACAGGAGTGGCGGTGGAGAGTGCCACAGAAGCATGGTGTCCACGCCCATGAGAGACACAGGCACCTGTGGCTGGACCTACATCAGGACGACTCCCTAGCCCTGCACACCGAAGGCCAGGGCTCTGGGAAAACCCAGGGCCCACTTAGAGGATGGCTGCGCCCTGTGCTTCAGCAGTGGGGTTGGCATCCCAGTTAAGTGTGGTTCTAAAACCCACCAAACTCCAGCGCTCAGGAGGCAGAGGCAGGAGGAGCGGGAGTTCAAGGTCGTCCCGGGTTACATGGAGAGTTTGAGGACAGCTCGGGCTATGTGAGACCCTGCCTCTGTATGAAAGCCACAGGGATTCTGGATTCAGACAGAGTAGGTTCCTAACCCCACTGTGCCACATCCTTGGAACCTCGCCTTCCTTGGCTGTAAAATGGGGATGAGAGTCCTTGGTGGGGTTGCCACAGGTACAGTATGGAGTGGCCGGCGGAAGCCAGCCCCTGTCAGTGATGGCTCTACACAGGCCACGTGGAGTCAGATCCTGACCGTCCTGGGGCTCTCCGCTAACCACGCCCCCTTTCTTTCCCAGGTCACCCTGCTTTCCTTCGCAGTGGAGTCAGAGAGCACCTTCCTGGACTACATCAAAGGAGGGTGAGAGAGACGGGGGCTGGCTCCCCCAGGCCTGGGGAGAGGGCAGGGCTCCATACCGTGCAGCCAGAGCACACCCCATGAGACCCCAGCTGAGCCTGACGCTGGCTGCCGGGCTGTAAGCAGGCCCTGCCTCGGAGCTGAGCGCCCCGCCCACTCCGGGATTCGGAGCGCAGGAGGCCAGCCTGGGTCAGGTCAGATCCCCGAGCAGAGGTTAGGACCCGATGCTGGTGGGGGCTCCATGATGAGGAGAGCCAAGGTGTAGGAGGCAGAAAGTGCTCCGGGCGGGGCATCAGGAGAGCAGGCTCTGGATCCCTGTTTGCCTTGGCTTTTCTGAGTTAACGTGGTGAGTCATGTTCTCTCTGTGGGTATCAGAGCCATCCAAGGATTGCAAGGGGTGAAAGTTGAGCTCCCTTCCAGCACTGAGCTCCTGATGGGTGTGGGACAGGGACCTGTAAGGACAGTGAGATTAGGGGACCATCCCCGGGTCAGCAGGTGCCCAACCTCAAGCTGAAAGAGCAGAAGGAACTGTGGGGGTGGGGAGGACCCGCAAGCCAACAGCAGAACAGCCAGGAGACCTCAGCTGTCAGCTTACAAGACTATGGCCTGGTTCCAAGGAGGGGCCTCCCTGGCACACTCTCTGCAGGCAGCTGCCAGGTCAGGGTGTGGACAGCTGAGAGCCCACAGGTGCAGGCGAGCGAGGACTGCACCTGCCTGAGAGGAGACGGGCGGGGCAGCTGCTGAGGGCGCATCCCAACCTGGCAGTCACCCGGCCGCCCTGTCTCCCGGGACATGTCTCACTTTCCCATGACACCGCTCCTCCGTCTCCCGAACTTGCAACCTCAAGGTTACAAGCCCTCCCTCCGCCTACAGAACACCCCCACACCCACACACCACACACCACACACCCACACCATACACACACACACACACACCCAGGCACCCAGAGGCCTCCCCTAGCCCCTCTCTGCATAGATCCACTCCCAGCCTCAGCAGACTTCCCATCACTGCTTGCTCCCTTTGCAGAGCTGGGGGTGCGACTCAGTGGTACAGCACTTTCCTTTCATACAAAAGAAGAAGAAAGGAAGAAAGAAAAAAAGCACAAACCAAAAAAATTCCCCCCTTCTTTGTTCCATTAAAGCAGCCACCCTCACATTCCGCCGTACCTGGCAATTTTCAAACAAGCTTCATTTTGCTCACCCTTTTATTTGCATAGCACTCCTAATTTACATAGAGGGAGGAGCAAAGACCTTATTCCATTTTGCACCCACCTCCAAGGTGGCCTGGATCCTTTTGTTCCCGGCTAATTGGTCACCCTTGCCTCCTCTGTCGTTCCCCTTGGGGCTGAACGCACACGGAAGCTGAGGAGTCAGGGGGGCTGCGGAAGCACCACGCAGGTCAGACCACTAGAAAGAACACTCTGGAGGGCCTGAGCTAGACAATTGACTCCAGACTGTGAAACTACAGGGGCATGTGCAGGCAGGAGGCTGGCCGAGGTGTCGTCTGGGGACCCAGAAGGAATAAGAATGAGGGTGCCTCTGCCCGGGACACATGAGGCCAAGAGGCAGGAGCAACTTGGCTGCAGGGAGTTGTCCCACAAAGTGGCTGCTTTCTTCCCCACCCCCCACCCCCCCCACCCCCCGGTAGGAGGTATGGTTTCGAGTGGTTTCGAGACAGGGTTTCTCTGTGTAGCCCTGGCTGTCCTGGAACTCGCTCTGTGGACCAGGCTGGCCTCGAACTCACAGAGACCCGCCTGCCTCTGCCTCCCGAGTGCTGGGATTAAAGGCGTGGGCACCACTGCTTTCTGATTGCGTTTTCAGGACGGCGAGTAGAAGAATAGTTAAGGAACAGGATCGGCCTTTCCCCTCATCCTGGTTTTGGGAGAGACAACCTAGTAGTTGGCTGTAGTCCACCAAGGCGGAGCCCATCCTCCCAAGGATGGCTCCTGAATCAGAGCTTTTGCTCTCCAGCTGTCTCCCTTCCTCTGACAAAGGTGCTTTTGTTCCACACTGGAGAGATGCCACAGTCTACTGATGCCACAGTCTACTGCTCTAGCAAGGAGTCCCCAGCCACAGACTTCAAACAAGTATCCGGCAGTGCCGAGCATGGCAGCAATTTACACAGCCACTCAGGGGCCGGCCCTTGCTCTCTTCTCTTAGAGACTGGAGTCCAGGGAATGCTCTGCCCCCAGCTATCAGGAAGACGGGACTGCCTCTGCTTAGAAACGCTGGCCATGTGCTCCCCCCTTCCCGGGGGACAGAGGTCTCATGTGCAGCAGCGTGGCTGTGATCAGGTGGCAAGAGACCTGGGATTTCTAATAGGGACCTTCTCTGTGGTTCCGATAGCAATCCTATACAGTTTTTCATACACTCTGACTGTATCCCCAGTGGTGTCATTTAACATGCTCCCCCTCTGTCCCCTGTGTTTTCTGTAAGAACTGAGAGACTGGCTGTGGTGTCACATGCCTTTAATCCAAGCACTCGGAAGGCAAAGACAGGAGGATTTCTGTGAGTTCAAGACCAACCTGGTCACATACCAAGTCCTAGGCTATCCAAGGCAGTGAAAACCCACCTCAAAAACGAAGCAGAAAAAAACAACAACAAAACAAACAAAAAACAAAAACAAAAATGTAGCAGACAGCTGTGGAGGCTCAGCCAGGATCGGGGGTGGTTTTTGGCCAGGGAGTGTTGTGGGTGGTATCATGTTCTTCGTTCTAGATACTTAGTGTATGTGTTGACTCTTTGTCATGTTTTAACGATTAGTCCGACTCTGAATTTGAACCAGAAACCCAGTGAGCCTGACCTCACCTATCCACTCACTTGGGCACAGGTTCAGAGAGGAAGGGACAGCAGCCCACAGAACAATGCATGCCCACACAACGTAATCAGTGTGCTGTGGGATGCTCACCTCCAGTGCTCACAGTGGCCTCACAGAGGGGCTTAGCTCCACTGAGGCCACACGGCTGACAAGCGTGGGTGCGTCCACTGAGGCCACACGCCTGACAAGCGTGGGTAGCCAGCGGTTTCCCCCCTTGCCCATCTTCCCCGGGTGACTCCAGGTCTTCTCTTTAGGACACAGATCAATTTCACCGTGGCCATCGACTTCACCGCCTCCAATGGTGAGTGGGGAGGAGTCAGGTGGGCATCACTGGGCTGTGGTAGACGACCCGGCTATGAGCCAGGTCCCTCATACTTCCTCTTCTTCCTGATGGGTGGCACTATTCCTAGGGAGCTGTAAACAGACATCTACTCCCCCAGTTAGGGAACCAATAACGGGCCAAAGTACAGATAGTACCAAAGTCCAGTGTGAGTTTGCTGGCTTCCTTACAGGGGTATGACCGAGGGGTTACTACAGGGACATAGGCGAATGAAAGCCACCCCAATGTGGGTGACAACCTGGGACCCTGAGGTTCTCTGCATAGCTTGGAGGCAGTTTAACAGGGACTTCCTGTGCCTTGTGAGTTGTTTACTTCCTGAGTCTTATGGAACTGCTCTCTGAGATGGAATGCTTCAATTAGGAGGAAACTGCCCACCAGAGAAGGCTTCTATGTCCACACAACCAAAGTTAGAATGAGGAGGTCCACACACGCCTTTGATCTTAGCACTGGAGAGGCAGCTGCAGGTAGAACTCTGTGAGTTCGAGGCCAGCCTGATCTATAGAGTGAGTTCCAGGTCAGCCAGGATGACACAGTGAGACCCTGTCCCCCAAAATAAATAAATAAATAATTAATTAAATTAACTAGCCAAGAAGTGAGGCCTCCCAGGTCAGATGGCACTATACCGGTGCACCTGTGCCTGGGGGGAGCACACTCCCAGCCATTGCCCTGACCAGGAGCACTCACTCTACTGAGGAACAGGAGAATGCAGCATTCTAGATCTGACTGTGGCTGGGTGGCCAGGAGCTGTCACAGTGCCCAAGTGTACCCTGAAAAACAGCACAGAGCCCTTGTGGGGTCACAACCCCAGCCAGGGTGCTCTGATCTCGCTTTTGCGTCAGGAGACACCCAGGGCTCCCTCTCTCCTGGCGTGTCAGAGTCCTTCTATGGCTAGAAGGCATGAGTCCTGGGCTGTTAGAGCCAGGGACGGGATGTCTTCACACTGATGCCACAAAGACAGTGCAGGAGGTGGCTCAAAGTGCTTGCTGTACGAGTGAGGACCAGAGGTCTGGTCCCCTGGACACACACATGGCAGGTGTGTGTGGTCGCCCGTCTATTATCAGCCTAGTGAGACCAGCCATGCTGGCCAGCTCTGGGTTTACTGGAATTAGGTAAATTAGGTGGAAGAACAAGGAAGGATGATTCTCAAATCAGCCTTGGGCCCTCCATGTGCAAGTGCCTGCTTACACACACATGCTCACTCACATGCATGCTCACCCACATGCATGATCACACATGCATGCATACCCACATGCATGCACACACACATGCATAATCACCCATGCATGCACACCCACACACATGCATACCCACATGCATGCACACCCACATGCATGCATACCTACATGTATGCTCACACATACATGCACACCCACATGCATGCTCACAGACATGGATGCACATAGACATGAAAATGGAGGGAAGACAGTTCTACTTACATTACCCATTTGGTCCCTAACTGTGACCCTAGGATGGGGCAGATGCCCCTGATTTACAGGGGATATCTCTAATGAGGAGACTAAGAGACACGGGTAGTGCCTGGGGGCGGGGCAGTATCAGTAGTGAATGGATCCGTGAAATCTGAACTCCCGAGGTGACAGGGGCATATCATAGCAGTAGAAGGGAAAGGTTCAGGAGAGAAACAGACGCTGCCAGGGCCGTGCGGGGAGGCGTGGAGAGGCTGCAGCTGGGGGCCTCAGGCTGGAGAGTAAGAGAGGGCCAGAGGCCAGATCCAAGGGGATCCCGTGGCTTGGTGGGCTCGGGGTGATCTGGGAGAGATGGGGGCTCAGGGTGGATCTGCCCTTGGAGTGGGGCGGGGCAGGCCAGTGTGTAGCGCGGGCTGCAGATAAGGGCAGGGCAGGGCAGGGCAGGGACAAGCAGGGGCCATGACGAGGCTGCTGTCCTGTACATCAGACGGAGGTGGCTTTGAATAAGTGGGATGCCGAATCTGTTCCAAGTGCACGGCGGCCCCTCCTTGCTGACTGCTGGACGGGCACGGAATGGAGGGGGACGGGGGGGGGGGGCTCACAGGTGAACAGCGGTGGGGACGGGGGGCTCACAGGTGAACAGCGGTGGGGACGGGGGGCTCACAGGTGAACAGTGGTGGGGACGGGGGGCTCACAGGTGAACAGTGGTGCTCAAGATGGAGGGGGATGGGGGAGGGACTCACAGGTGAACAGCGGTGCTCGCGATGGAGGGGGACGGGGGGCTCACAGGTGAACAGCGGTGCTCGCGATGGAGGGGGACGGGGCGCTCACAGGTGAACAGCGGTGCTCGCGGACACCCCGGTCCAGTTTGGCAGGTGTCCCCACGTCTTGTGTCGTAGGGAACCCCTCACAGTCCACGTCCCTGCACTACATGAGTCCCTACCAGCTGAATGCCTACGCGCTGGCGCTGACCGCCGTCGGGGAGATCATCCAGCATTATGACAGCGACAAGATGTTCCCGGCCCTGGGCTTCGGGGCCAAGCTGCCCCCAGACGGCAGGGTGTCCCACGAGTTCCCACTGGTAGGAGGTGCCAGGCTGGGGACGAACAGTAGGGGCCACGGGGAGTTCCTAATTCTTGACCTTGGCCTAAATCCTTGTAAACTCCAGAGGCAGTGGCCACCTACTTGGTTTGGGATTTGAGCTAAAGGCAGTTATGCCTTGCCTCTGCCTCAACCCCACCCTCCCACCCCCTCCCCTCTCCCCTCCCCTCCCATCCCCTACTCTCCCACCCCCTATCCTCCCTCCCCCACCCTCCCACCCCCTACCCTCCCACCCCTGCCTCCCACCCCCTACTCTCCCCCCTACCCTCCCACCCCTGCCTCCCTGGACCCATCCTGCCTCTGCCACCTTCCTGCCTGCTTGAACTCCGCTGTCCCCTGTCCCAGAATGGCAACCAGGAGAACCCCTCGTGCTGTGGCATCGATGGCATCCTGGAGGCCTACCACAGCAGCCTGCGCACCGTGCAGCTCTATGGCCCCACTAACTTCGCCCCTGTAGTCACCCACGTGGCCAGGTGAGCCTGGGGCAGCCGGTTCCCGGGAAGCGTGGCTGGAAGGGGTCACCTGCCCACCTTTTAGCAAGAGGCCCAGGAGATTCCCTGAGACCCCCTTACCAGAGTGTTGGGGAGCCTTGCTCAGGGGGGGGGGCTGGGCCAGAGGCTCCAGGACACACCTCTTTGTGTGCCTGTCCCACCCCCACAGGAACGCTGCAACCGTGCAGGACGGCTCCCAGTATTCCGTCCTGCTCATCATCACTGATGGCGTCATCTCCGACATGGCACAAACCAAGGAGGCCATCGTCAATGTGAGTGGCGGATGGCTCTCTCTCTCTCTCTCTCTCTCTCTCTCTCTCTCTCTCTCTCTCTCTCTCTCTCTCTCTCGTTCTCTCTATCACACACACACATGCACACACATGTGCACACACGTGCACACACACACATTTTCAGGGGCTGAAGCATCTTGTCCCTCCCCAGGAGAACCTGATGGGGGTGCTTCCTTTAAAGAAACGCTGGGGGTTCTTTCCCGGTCCCTACAGTGTTTCCCTAAAGGGGACGCCTCCCTTGAGGTCCCTCATTCAGCTAGCTGCTGGCCAGAGTCTGGCAGGACTAGGAGAGAGAGCACTAGCCAGGGGCTGGGGAGATAAAGGAAGGAAGCACTGTGTCTATGAGGGGTCAGACTCTGAACCACACAGCTGGCCCCGTGCTCTGGGGGCCCATGGCTCCCTCAGTCACCCTCTCTAGGTCCCAGCTTGCCTGTCATGTAGAGGGGGTAGGGGTCCCAGCATGAAGAAAGCTTCCCCCCAACCCTGACCCTGGCTTCCCTATAGAAAGGGCCCAGCCTCAGCTGCCCTGGTCCCTCATGGTGGAGCCCCAGAGCCAGAGACGAAGTGGCTCGCAGAGGCAGGGGGACCCAGCTCCCCCGAAACACCTCTCCTCACGCTCTTGATCTCCTCCGAGTTACCTCCCTATTCTCTCCTTTTCCTCGGGGTGCCCCATCCTTCACTACCCATCCCTTCCCCATGCCCCGCCCTCTCGACATTTGACCCTCCTTCCGGTCTCTACCTGTGCCTCACCCAGGACTCCCCCCCCCTCTTCTCTCAGGCGGCCAAACTCCCCATGTCTATCATCATTGTTGGTGTGGGCCAGGCCGAGTTTGACGGTGAGTCCGGTGCCCCCTTCCCAGCCGTCTCCCCCCACAGGATTCCATGGCAGCAGCGAGAGCTCATGCCTGGGTGGACTTGTGTGCCCCTGGAGGGTGTCAGTGCCCACACGTGCCTCGGCCTCATCCTGGGGGCTGTGTCACTGCTCCAGGCATGGAGCCCGGGCAAGGGGAGCAGGGCCCTAACTGCATGCTGGTCTCGGTGTCCACCTGCTTCCTCGTCTCTAGTGTCAGGGCAAGAACCCTCTCGACTGGCCTGGGATTGGAGGGTAGGTCCTGTCAGATGCACATGTACACTGTCACACACACACACACACACACCACACACATCCCTTGTCCCTACAGCCATGGTGGAGCTGGACGGTGATGACGTGCGGATCTCCTCCCGGGGGAAACTGGCTGAACGGGACATTGTGCAGGTGAAAACAGGCCCTGCCCTCCTGTAGGGCATCAAATATCAAGGCCCTCCAGCCAGACCAGCCTCAGAGCCCCTGTGCAGACTCCCCAAGCACAGACCCTGGAATCCCCTCCTGGGCCAGTGTTCTCATGAGGTCATGCCCCTTCCTGCCCCTCCCTGCCCCTCCCTGCCCCTCCCTGCCCCTCCCTACATGAAGCTCCCTTCTAACCGGAATGACACCCCCACAGAATCCAAAGTCCCCCAAAAAGGGCTCCGTGCTCATGCACTTTCTGTAGTCTGTGCTACGTGGCCTTCCCGCGGCATGGAGACCCCCTTGAAGATGGAGGCAGTGTCCTTAGTGTTTAGGAGGAGGAGGAGGAGGGCAGGAGGGAGCCAGAGGGAGGTTGGCGGCGTGGGTTAGTCATGGGCCTAGGAGACAGAGAGGGTCCCTCTGGAAAGAGGTGGTTAAGAGGGAAGGAAGCCAGGAAGCAGGATTCAATCGAGCTTTCCCAGAATCCCTCGAGCCTCTCTGCTCATTGCTGGATGAAGGGATTGGGCCAGTGTTAGGTCCCATCACGGAACAGATATCAGGGAGACCTGGGCAGCCCTTGGTGACACTCATGAAGTGGGGGTTGGGTCCTCTGGGAGGGGACCCAAGTGTCCCATCCTGACCCCACTTTCTTGTCTGTCAGTTTGTGCCCTTCCGGGACTACGTGGACCGCACTGGCAACCATGTTTTGAGCATGGCCCGGCTGGCCCGAGACGTGCTGGCTGAGATCCCCGACCAGCTGGTGTCCTACATGAAGGCACAGGGCATCCGCCCACGCCCACCACCCGCCGCACCTGCCCAGTCGCCCCCACAGTCCCCAGCCCACTCACCTCCTGGGTCGCCCCTGCACACACACATCTGAAGCTTGCAGGACCCTGGAGGCTGAGGCCTCACTCTTTGTGGTCGCCTTCCCAGACTCCTCTCGGAGGGCTGGCGGGAGATGGGGTGTCCATGACCTCACCCCACTTCCTGGCCTCAACTTCCCACCCACACCCAGGGAACTGGGGGTGGTGGTGTAGGAGACAAGGGGTACACAAGATCCTGGGGTTGAGTAGACTCCCCCAGCCTATGTTGGATAGCCCAGGACTCCCCTACTCTTACAGTCCGACTGGCCTTCTCCAGTCCCTGTACCCTCCTCCCTGGTGTCTAGTGTCCCCACTCCCTTGAGATCCCCCGTCCTGTTTCCATGGAACCCTAGACGGGTGGGCTGCCAGGGACGCGGCGTGTCACTGACCCTGCTAGGGTCACCGTGTGTGAGCAGAGCCTGTGGGCCATCAGGCTGTGGTGGAGGCATGTTAACACAGCGCCCCTTCACGACCCTCAAAGGCTCAGTGGTATGCCACAGTGCTCTAGACAGAGCTGTCACGGGTAGCTTGTGGCATTGAGCTGTCTCCTGCTCACCTCGGAGGCCGCTCACCTGCCGCGTGCACAGGGCCAGCCCCTGGGCTCCCCTCCTCCCTGCCCCTCAGAGGCTCTGGGACCCGAGACAGGAGCCCGGAGCCCCAGATTGTCCCCCACCCCCACCCAGCACAGCCTCTGCTCTCTGGACCTCAGTGTCCACAGCTATGTGACGACAGGATTAGTCAGGTGGTCCAGAGTTTCCTGAGTCACCCGAGGGTCCATTCCATTCCACATCCAGCCTCCCCATCCCCTCCTCATGGCCACCGCCCACGCCCAGGCTGTCCAGACTCTGGGGTGACCCCGTTGCATCCTGTCACCCCCACCCCAGTCCTTCAGTTGTCAGAACTCCTGCCCCTGCTGTGGAAGAGTGAGGGGCAAGGAGGTTTTCACTACATTTACCCCACCGGCCGCCATCCTTTGCCCCGCCCCCCCCCGGGGCAGGTCTTGCATGTGTCCCCTGTGCCGCATGGGGTCCCCGCCTGCCATCTCCCATCCCACCCGCCTCTGTCATGCATGGTGATGGTGGTGTTTCTACTGTCTGGTCCTGTGCCTGTCTGAGACCGTCTCTGTGGAACTTGCCTTAAACTGAAGTAAACCGGTTCTTTTAGTAGGAACCCCGGCCCCTTCTCTTGGAAAGCAGCTGCTGCTTGCCTGGCGACTGTCTGCTGCCTCAGTTCTTTGGTTCGGTCACGCCTCTGTCAGACTCTGTGCGAGTCACGGGTGTGTGTGTGTGTGGCAGGGGTTGAAACCTGCCCCCCCCAACACACAAACATCAGGGAAGACAGGAGAGACAAGTGTGCGGACACTCGGGCCTGTAACCTGCCTTCAGAGAGTGGGGAGAGCCAGGAGCAATGGGAGAGAAAGAAAGAGCAAATACCAGCAGCGAGAGGTTTTCGATGAGATGGTCAGGTGACTGGGGGAGCCGCGCTGGTGTCTGGGTGAAGAGGGCTGTGGTAGGTGGGCCCAGGGCGGAAATGCTGAGTTAGAAGCCTGGCGCGTTTGAAGGGGGACAAGGAGGCCACCGTGATGAGAGCTACGCCAAGGAGCTCAGGGACCGACATCAGGGAGGGGCCAGACGGCACAGGGCCTTGCGGTGCACGGCGAGGCCTCCGGCGTTTGCTCTGGAGAAATGCAGCTGTCCAGGAGGCGGGAGAGACAGCGCGTGACCGGGGTCTCGCCAGTGTGTGGGTCACCATGCTATTCAATTGCTTATTCCCTCATCTCAGCAAATACCCACTGAGCACCGGTTCCAGGCCTGCTCATGGGTCAGGGGTGCTGGCTCATCCCCTTCCCCCTCTCCCCCCTCCCGTGTCACCCTCCAGGATAAATCAGCCAGCACAGGGCAGCAGGGCCAGCCAGCAGGAAGGTCGGGAGCTGTGGCTCTCAAAGGCACTCTGGCCCATCCAGGATGAGCCCAGCAGAGTGATGGGTAGGGTTCATGTGTGCACTGATGGTGTCACATCCCCAGGGTAGGGTACATGTGTGCACTGATTGTGTCACAGCCCCAGGGTAGGGTTCATGTGTGCACTGATGGTGTCACATCCCCAGGACCCTGTTATACACACACGTGCACACAAACTACACATGCTGTCCAGTCAGCCCCATGGGCAGCCATTCTGAGTCCGTACCCACGAGGAGTTCAGTACTAACCATCCTCCAGTTCAGGACTTGTTTACTCCTGATGACTTCACGGTAAATTAGAGCTGACTCACAGCCGTCCCTATAATCAGATGCCCCGAGACTCCCATGACGCTGCCGTGAGTGAGAATGGGGTGGGGTCGTGGCTCGAGAGGAGGGAAGTTCCCATAACCAGCAGCCCGTTTTCTATCTCCTTGGGCGCCATGGAAAAGTGTAGGGAGGAGATGGGTGCCCCGCAAGGGAACCCACACGCAGAGCAGCTGCCCCTGGGCTGGGGGAGGGCACCAAAAGTATCTGCGACGTGGCTTCTCTGCCGGGTTCCTTCCCAACGTGTGTTCTCCAGAACCATTACCCGATCCGGAGTCTGAGGCGACTGTTCTCTCTGAGTCCTCAGTGGCCTTCGGGGCCACCAAAGCCCTGGCAAGTTATATAGCACAGACTGGCTTGACGGAGTCAACACAATAGTCCTGGGGTTTGACCTCACAGTCAGACTCCCCCGCCCCCTTCTGTCTTGCTCTTGCTCTGTGTGTGTGGTGTGTGTGTGGTCATGTGAGTGTGTGTGGTCATGTGAGTGTGTGTGTGTGTATGTGTGTGTGTGTGTGTGTTGTAACCAGTAGTGTTAATAAAAAGGCTGTCTTGAGAATGACAGCGGCCACAGCCTTCCTGGTTCCAGGGCCAACGTAGACGCGAGGCCACATCTAAAGAGTCGGAGAGAGAGGTGGACCCTAGTGGGGAGGAGCAGGCCCTGAAAAAGTCCCTTCCCAGCTACCTAAGAAAAAGAAAACACTCTGAAGAAAGGGCAGGGCTCAACAATTCGCAAGCCCAGAGTCTCGGCTCTACAGTGACTTAATTTTTGTTCCTGTCTGGGACTGAGGGTGTGTGGGACGGAGCTGGCGGGGTGAGCAGGGACGGGCAAGGCAGGTGAAGGGCTCTCTCTGCTCTGCCTGGCTGTGGCCCATGGCCTGCAGGACTAAGGACCCCAGGGTGGTAGGTCCAGAGCGGTGCTGTTTCTGCCCCCTTTTATCATCTCCTCTCTAGCGCCCAGAACTAGTAAACATAAGATGGTGGTGGTATCTTGGTGGTGCCCCTCCCCCTCCTCACACATGTTAAGTGGGTGCCTCCTCAGAACCATCCTGTGAAGAAGAGAGTCTCATCCCATTTTGCAGATGAGGAAGCTGAGGCACAGAGTCCCAGGATGACAAAACTGTAAGGTTGGGAGCCCACAGATCTGAGCTTCACAGCTCCTTCACGAGTGTGAGCTGTCACCACAGCACTGGCTGCTGTTCCCATTCTGGCGTGCGCGCTGTGTCCCCATGAGAAAGTGGAGGCAGGCTCTGGAAGCTAAGCTTTTCTGATGCTGGATACAACCTGGGGTGACACTATCTGTGACATGGCACACCAGCATGCCAGGGGAAGAATCACACACACACACACACCTTGTTGCCCCTGCTCCAAGTACTGGGGTTTTGGCAGCAGCAAGCCAAGCTGTCTCCCTCCCTGTTTCTTACCAACCCTACCCAGTTTCTTCCCCAGCACTTGGAAGGCAGAGGCAGGTGGATCTCTGTGAGTTTGAGGCCAGCCTGGTCTACAGAGAGAGTTCTAAGACAGTTAGAGCTACACAGAGAAACCCCGTCTCAAAAAAAAAGTGTGTGTGAGTGTGTGTGTGTGTCTGTATGTCTGTCTGTGTGTGTTTATGTGTGTGTTCATGCATGCGTGTGTGTATGTGTATGTGTGAGTATGTGTGTGTGCATGCACATGTACGAGTGTGTCTGTATGTCTGTGAGTGTGTGTGAGTGTGTATGTGTATGAGAGTGTGTGTGTGAGTGTGTGTATGTGTGTTTCCGTATGTCTGTGTGTGTATATGTGTGTGTTCATGCATGTGTATGTGTGAGTATGTGTGTGTGCATGCGTGCGTGTGTGTGTGTCTGTATGTCTGTGTGTGTGTTCATGTGTGTGTGCGTGTGTGTGTGTGTGTCTGTATGTCTGTGTGTGTATATGTGTGTTCATGTGTGTGTGTCTGTATGTCTGTGTGTGTATATGTGTGTTCATGTGTGTGTGTGTGTGTGTGTGTGTGTGTGTAGGACCCACCTCTGCCCTGAACATCCACATCTTCCTGTAAGAAATTCTGAATCACCAGCCTGCAGTCTGCAGGTGCTGGAACCCGGCTCCGGAGCCATGGGTGCAGCTCCATGGGTAGAGTGCTATCCCATTGCCACGTAACCCAGGCGTGGGGTGGGAGTGTATTTCCTGCCTGTTAACCCAGCACTGGAGAGGTGGAGGCAGGAGGATCTGAAGTTCACAGTCATCCTTAGCTACAGTCAGCTTAGGACATCTGAGACCCTGTCTTGAAGAGAAGAGAGGAGGAAGAGAGGGAACGGGAGGGGGAGTGGAATCCCCAGCACCCAGACAATAAGCAGATCACAGCTGTCTGTAACTGCAACCCCAGTGCTGGAGGTGGACGCAGCCAGATCCTGGGAGCCAGTGGCCAGCCAGCAGAGCTGAAATGGCAAGCTTCCGGTACAGGGACAGCCCTTTCAGGTCAGAAAGGTGGCAGGCGGCAGAGGAAGACATGCAACATCTGACTCTGGACATTGCGTGCCCAGACATGGCACAAACACCGGAACACTCGTGCATGCATCTCACACACACACACACACACACACACACACACACACACACACACAAAAGAAAGGGTGATCCTGTCCTAAAATAAAGTAAAAGAGGAACGGGTGAAATGGCTTCGTTTGCTGCCAAGTTTGAAGACCTGAGTTTGATCCCTGAGACCCGACCAGGAAAAGACGACTCCAGACGGTTATCCCCACCCCTGACACGCAAACACACATACAGATAATGAAGGTGAGCGTTTAAGCTTCTTAAGTAAAGAGAGGGCTAGGGTGTAGCTTACTGTAGAGCACTTGCCTGGCATGCCTGGGGCCCTTGGTTTAATCCCCAGAACCACAAAGAAAATCAAACAGCTCTAGCCTTTTCTGGCAACATTTGGAAGCAGGGTCAGGAGGATCATGGGTTTGGGGCCATCCAGGGCTACATAGCATACATAGCAAGACCTGCATCGGCGACAACAAAAGCCAAGATCCATGTCTAGGCTGCATCCTTGGCTCTATCTCCAGCGTCACATAAACCGGGTGTGACACCAGCACTCATGAGGAAGAGGGAGGATCAGAAGTTAGGGTCGGGGCTGGAGAGGTGGCTCAGAGGTTAAGAGTACTGACGGCTCTTCCAGAGGTCCTGAGTTCAATTCCCAGCAACCACATGGTGGCTCACAACCCTCTGTAATGAGATCTGGCGCCCTCTTCTGGCCAGCAGGCAGACATGCAGGCAGAACACTATATACATAATAAATAAAATAAAAAACAAATAAATAAATCTTTAAAAAAAAGAAGTTAGGGTCATCCTCAGCTCCACAGCGAGTTCACAGCCAGCCTGGGCTACGAGAGACCCGGTCTCAAAACGACAGAGGAAGTGGTAATTAAATCCTCCCAGCTCCTCACGTAGGGCTGATACAAGGTCCGTCCTCAGAATGGCACCTTCACGAAGGTCCTGAGTAAACAATGGCTGAGGTTTGTTCCTGCTCAGCTTGCAAGGCCTTCTCTCTAATGCCCCCGGCCAAGCCTCTAGTCTATGTCCTCTCCCCTTCCCAGACCACGCCCCTTGCTCCTCTCGCCCTACCCTGGTCTCCCCAGCCTTTTCTTTAATCAGCCTCAAGCCAAGCCATAGCCAGATCCCCCTAGGCTGCCATATTCTTAGAAATGAACACGTACCTGGAAGTTCCCTCTGAGGTCTACCTTGAGTCCTGCTGCTGACCTCTGTCCACCTGGGGTTCCATTTATCGCTTAATGTCTGTGAACCCTTAGCTGTCCAGAAGGGCTGACACCCCAACATGTCTCGACTGTGGCACATGGTGGACCCAGCATGCCAACGTAAGTTTCTGAAAGGTGTCTCTTCCCAAACCACACCTCGAGGGAAGCTGAGTTGGCTGTCTGGAGGCTACTCACCACCCCCCCTCCACCTCCCCTCCAACTACCCCCTAAAGTGGCTGGCTGCTTGACGGGTTCCCAGGAGTCATGCTCTGCTCCTGGCCTCATTAGCTTTCTGGAGCATTGGGGGGGCAGGATCTGCCCCTCCCCTCGTGAGTGCCATTGCCTGGAACTGATGGAGAATGGGGGGGGGGTGTTGGAAGGAGAAGGCTGTGAGGTAAGGGAGAGCCATTGAGGAACTCGGGAGAAGCAAGCCCGGTGGCTGGAGTCATTGCATCCAGGTTAGAGTGGAATGGGTATCTAAGGGCTTCAACCCCATCTTTGGAGGCATCAGATGCTGGAACCTTCTGAACCTGACCAGGTATCACCAGCTGCCCTGTGTGCCAGTTCCCTGGCTCTGAGGCCTCCCTAAACAGTCCAAGAAGGTGCTGGGGAAGCCTGGAGCCTGTGGCTAACAGGAGAGTCCTCTTGCCAGGACCCCCCCATCACCCCCACTCTCCACCTGGCCATTTCCACTGGTTCTCCACAACACTGAGGCTTCCTCAAGTTCAACACCCTGTCTCCAAAAAGGTCCAAAGTGTCAATCCCACCCCTGGTTCCCATGGGCTCTCTATTCAGTGCTCACACAACTACAGAGCTAGAGCTGGGCAGTGGTAGCACACGCCTTTAGTCCCAGCTCTCAGGAGGCAGAGGCAGGTGGATCTCTGTGAGTTCAAGGCCAGCCTGGTCTACAAGAGCTAGTTCAGGACAGCCTGAAAGCCACAGAAACCCTGTCTCAAAAGAACAAAAAACAAACAAACAAAAACAACACCTGCAGAGCTGGGCAGAGCCCCAACTCAGAGGCCATCCCTAACCCCCCAGACCCCGGAACCAGCATCCTGCCAGGTTTCATGGGGCAGTCCACGGCCCACTAATCATAGGCATCCAATGGCTACTGAGGACCCCAAGGTTTAGGGCAAGAAGCAGGATCCTGGTGCAACCCTCCACGGGAGTGCCAGAGGGCTCAGGGCACGACACCGGTCTCAGGATTGGATTCTGCAAGGAAGAAACCCGCCTCTGAGAGGGGAAACCGAGGCAGACACAGGAGTAGTGGGAACTGACTGAATGTGTGAGTTCAGAGCTGGCACAAGACAGATTCTCTGCAAGGTTTACTTCCTCCTCCATATCGGGTCCCCTGATTGCATAAGGCATCGCTAGGCACTGGAGAAAATCCAAAAATGTTCAAAAGGAAAATAGCACCCCATGTGTGCCCTGTGTCCCGGTTAGTTTTTATTATTATCCACGTAACCCAATCTAGAGTCACCAGGGAAGAGGGAAAATTAAATGAAGAATGGTCTTTGCCATGCTGGCCCGTGGCAGGCATGTCTTGCTTGATGATTGATTCAGTAGGGCTCAGTCCACTGTGGGTGGCACCATTCCCTAGGTATACAAAAGCCAGGTAAGCATTAGGCCGTGTGTGAGCGAGGAAGCAGCGTTCCTCCACGGTTCCCGCTTCAGTTCCTGCCCTGACTTCCTTCAGTGACGGACAGTGACCCGGAGGTGTGAGCCGGAAGAGCCCCTTTCCTCCTCTGAGCTGCGTTTGGTCAGCATTTATCACAGCAGAAATGAAACTAGAATGCCCTGGCATCTTGCCATGGGGTGAATGAAAGATTTGGGGGCACTTTCCTTGGGTGGGGTTTCTAGACTTGTCCTGCCATCCACTCCAGCCACGTTTGCTCAGTGGAGTGGAGGTGACACTGTCCCCTGCAGGGCTTCTGTGTCACGGCTGTGTCCAGGAAGCAGAATGGAAACCATAGGAAGGGACAGTCGTGATGGGACCAGAATGGTGATCAGCGGCAGCAGCCAGCTCTCTTGGGTGGCTCCTCGGGGGTCACTTCCACCATCGAGGCCCTCAGGCGGTCCTCCTGCATCTTCAGTGACCTGTGTGGCAATGTTCCCGAGTCACTTCTCCCTCTCCAGGAGCAGTATGAAGAGCTGTGGGGTAGCTGGGGTTTGGGGCTGGGGGACTCCACCCTTTGTCCTCTCTGCTCATGGCAGTGGAGAGACGGGGCTGGGGGACTGTGACCTTCTGTCCCTTTTTCTAGCCCACTGGGTGCCAAGCAATACTTTCTCTCTGTCTCTGTCTCTGTCTCTGTCTCTGTCTCTGTCTCTGTCTCTCTCTCTCTCTCTCTCTCTCACACACACACACACATGAATGAGCAGCTCTAACAGGAATAAAGAAGTCACATTCCGGGGCTTGAGCCTGAGCTGAGACCCGGGCCAAGGATGGACACTCTGTGTCACTGGAGGGAGGTACCAGAGAAGCCATGAGAAGCTTACCAGCCACCCTAGACTCAAGGTCAAGAGCAAGCCTGGGGCTGGGAATTTACAGGAGATTGTGTCCTGTAGGCACCACACAGCCTACCACAGGCCAGGGATGCTGGTGGGCTCTGATGCCCTTCCCAGCGCCCACCTCAGCTGTTCACTGAACACACAGCAGCGCAAGGCCCCACATAGAAAGGGCAGAACGGACAGATGGACTCCTCCCAGACAGCCAGAAAACATACTAAAACAGTGAGTGCAGAAGGGCGCAGGTCCAAGGCGGGGCACAGGGAGAGTAGCAGGATGTCACGGGAGACACACAGACAAAGCGGACAGATGGAAGACAGAGGCAGGGGAAAGAAAGGCTCCACGGGGCAGAATGGCAGAGGGGACTGTCGGGGGCACTTTGTCACGAAGTCACCAGAGGCCAGGGCAGGAACCTTAGTGACAAGAGAAGGGAAGGGAGATGGTGTGACAAAGCTGTGGGGGCAGCGCATGGGGTCCGGGACCAGGGGAGGGCTGCCCTGGAGCACTCTGGGTATGGGACACACTCACCGAGCCAGGCTCATCAGGGGCTCCAGGATGTTGTGACCCAGGACAGCGCTGCACTCACCAAAGGGGATCCCCAGCTCCTGCAGCCACACAGAGTGACTGAGAGGCCAGGTCCAGCCCTGCCAACCCCTCACCAGCCACCCTCGTTCCCCAGCTGGACCTCTGCCCACCAGCCACGGCAGACACGGGGTGCCATCCTGGAGACTTAGAGTAGAAGTCGGACCTACGGATTGACTTAGAGAAACACACAGGGATCTTTTTTTTTTTAACGCTCAGGATTTTGTTTGTATGCTTTTCTAAAAGAATTCTGGGCTGGGGCTATACCCCCACCCAAGGCCCTGGGTTCAATTGGCAACACACAAAAACAGAACAGGAAGATCCAGGCATTGTGGCAAATACCTATAACCTCACGCTTGGGAAGGAGAGGCAGAAGGGTCAGGAATTCAAGGTCAGCCTCAGCTATGTAGCAAGTCTGAGGCTAGCCTGGGATACATGAGACCTTGTCTGAAAAAGCCAAAAAGGCAGCCGGGTGTTGGTGGCGCATGCCTTTAATCCCAGCCCTTGGGAGGCAGAGGCAGGCGGATCTCTGTGAGTTTGAGACCAGCCTGGCCTACAGAGTGAGTTCCAGGACAGCCAGGGCTACACAGAGAAAGCCTGTCTCAGAGAAAGAGAGAGAGAATTACAGATAAAGACTGTGGACTGGGGGGTGCTTAGGGCACAGACTCTGAGAGGGTGAGTCTTCCAGGCACTTAAGTCAAGGAAAGAGCCAGGTGTGGTGGTGCACACCTTTAGTTCAGTACTCAGGAGTAAAAGCAGACAGATCTCTATGAGTTCCAGGACCTCTAAGGCTACACAGAAAACCAAAAAAGAAAATAAAAACTAAAAAGCCAAGAGGCTAGGGGAGACGGCCAAGCATGTAAAGGCACTTCCTGCCGAGGCGCATGGAGTCAGGGGACAATTTTCAGGGTTCCGTTCCCTTCTTCTGCCACGTGCTTTCCAGGGATTGAACCCGGGTCATCAGGCTTGGTGGCCAGCACCTCTACCTGTGCTAATTCTCGGTCCTCTAGCAGCATGAATTCTCAGAGAATGAACTCTTAAAGGTGACAGACTACTGTTCTAGAGACGGGACGGTCTGCCAACTGGAGCCACAGTGGCCAAGGGCGGTACTGGGAGGGACTCTCTCCCTAGGTTTCGAGGTTTTTTTAATTAAATATATATGTATGTATGTATGTATGTATGTATGTACACACACACATATTTGCTTTTCTATAATGCGGTTAAAACTCATTTATAAATAATAGCATCTCCCGTCTGGCAGCATAGTTTTTGAAGTCATCTTCCCAAGGAGAATGCTTGAGTCTTAAAATAGAATAAACGAGAAGGGAGTATGTTAATTAGAGACCAGAGATAAAATTAAGGTTTGATTGGGGATTTTCGGCGAGGCTTTTAAAACTGCTTTCACTCTGAAGATGTTTTTCGCGTGGGTTGGGAACGAGTGGGAATCTGCTAATTCCATGCAGTGTTCAAGGTGGCGCCCGTGGGCACAGCCTGGGTTTGAGCCCATGGCCAACCTGCAGCGACTCAGAGGTCAGCCCCTGGGGCCGGGGGGAGGCAGGGACAGGAGGGCAGGAAGCCCTGTGTCGTCCCCCCCCCCACCCTGTGTCGTGCCAAGTGGCGATTCCCTGTACTCACCTGAGCTAGCCTTCTCCCGGCGTCAGCGGGCACCTGCCTCTTCTCCTCACAATCCATCTTGTTTCCCAGAAGGACCATGGCCACCCTGTCTGCACCTGCATCCTGCACACAGAGCATGTGCACTCAGCCACCCTCTACGGGTGCCAGGCCCAAGACAGAAGCTTCTAGACGTTTCTAGAAGCTATCAGGCATCCTCTCACCTGGACCCTCTCTTCTCCTTTTGGCTCACAAGACCCTTCGCCTACTTTCATGGCTAACCTTGTGGACACCTTCCCCCGGAAGCCTTTCCAGATCGTCCCTGCCCACTCTTCACGACTGCGTGCCTCTGGTTGCCTAGGCTGCCTCAACCCTTGTGTCTGGCTGCTTTTCTTTTCTTTTTTTCTCTATGTGTATGTGCGTGTGCATCATGTGTGCGAACAGGCAGCCATGGAGGCCAGAAGAGGGGGTCAGATCGCTTGGAGCTGGAGCTACTGACAGCATGAGTGTGGGGAGCCAATTGCTCGTCCTCGGGAAGCGCAACGGGACAGCTGAGCCGTCTCTCTAGCCCAAGTGCTTTTCAAATCATCATCATCATTACAGTTTCCCGCCACTGACTGCTCTCTTCCAGGTGCCAGAAGCGGCTGTTCGAGTAAACCTTCCCAGCTCCCCCATGAGAGAGACAGGAGTTCTGGGAGGTTCAGCCACGTGTCCAAAGCCACAGAGTGGGGGATGAAGTGGACAGGTCCAGGCTGCTCCCTCATGTACCACCTTATCTTGCTTTTTTTTTTTTAACTCTCTTCCATTGGACTAGAAACTTCTAAAGAGGGGTTTGCGTGCTTCACTTGGCCCTAACGCAGCCTCATGTTGGGCTCATGCCCTGCAAAACGCCAGCATAGAGATTAGGTGTATGCGGGACCTGGAGCTAGACACTGTTAACGGGAAGTCCCGCCCAGGAGACCTCCTCGAGGGACGCATGAACAATTCGCTTTGGGGCCTTTACCGCGTGATTTCCCTGTGTACAGGGCTCCTCGTGCATCTGTAGCACTGGGAGAAAGAGCAGTGGGTGTGGGTGGATCCCAGGCTTCCTCTGGACTCCAAAGCCTCGGATACGCTCACCTGCAGACAGTCCAGCCAGTAGCGCACGTGGTTGAAGCTCTCTCGGGAGGTGACGTCATACATGAGCACCACGCCCTCCGCCTTTCGAAGCAGCTGCCGTGTGAGGCTGTGGTACCTGCCCAAAGGGTCTGCGTGAGGCCACCATATCCAGAGCCTGGGGACGCCCCCAGTCCTACCCTAGGGGTGGATCTGATGTACTTGGGGTCATTTAGGCCATCTCCCATATGCTGTGACATTTGGGTCTCTGCTTCGTGGGTGAGTTTATCTCCAGAACAAGATTCCAGAAATGCACTGCAGAGTGGAACCCACGTGCCCTTCAAGTCTCCCTTACTGGGGTCGGTGAGTTAGATGGGAAGGCCTGCTGTCCAGAAGGCTGGTCAGGGGGGAATGGCTGTCTCCGCCTCCCCCACCCCGGCCCCAGAGCTGTGCTGAGTGCTGGCACCTGAGCTCACGGCCCCTCCTTCCTGATTCCCTGTGTCTTGGATCTCAGGGTCTGATGGCTTCAGTGGGTAGACCTTGTCCCATTACCCAGGACGTAGGCTATTCCTCCCACACTCGGAGCACAGCCCAGTCCCTGGCCGCTGGCCGGGACAGTCTGAATACCTCTCTTGTCCAGCTGTGTCCCACAGCTGCAGCGCGAAGGTTTTGTTGTCTACCATCAGGGTTTTGACCCGAAAATCCACTCCTAGGACACACAGAAAAAGACAAGAGGCCTTGTGCTCTCCACCCAGGACAGCCAGCCCCAGATGCCCCGATGTGCACCCACTCCTAACCCCAGCCTTAGAAGGACGGAGCCAACGCTGGGCTCCTCTCTGCTCTCCAAAGGTCCCCGCAATCCAGTGTCACTCCTCCAGGCAGCCTTCCCAAGGTGGGGAAGGGACCCACTGAGTCACACCGTGTGCTCTGGGACTTCCCGGGGCGAGTCCCCTCGTATCTTGGAGGCTCCCTTTTTCATCAGCACGCGGCATGTAAAAGACCCATAAAGGCCGGTGTGGGGGGTGGAGTGGCCTGGGCCTAAAGGCTCCTCGGGGTTTCTGCTAGGTAACCAAGGTGACTGCGTTCGTCATCCCTCCACGGGCTGAGTCCCACAGCCCCACCCTTCCCTGTAGTCATAGCTGCAGAGCCAGTCAGACCTTGGGATAAGGAGCTGAAAATGAGAGTCTGTGCCCCTTCCAGCTGACCCCGCCCCCATAAACTCACGTCGAAAGAAGCCTGCTGGACAAAGGAGAGGCAAAAATGGGGGGGGGGGGGGGCGAAGAGATGGCTCAGAGGTTAAGAGTCCTTACTGCTGTTGCAGAAGAGCTGTTCAGGCCCCGGCACCCACATTAGGCAGTTAGGCAGTTCACAAGCGCCTGTAACCCCAGTTCTAAGGTACTGAACACCTCTCTAAGCCTCCATAGGCATCTGTACAGATGTGCACAGCCACATATAGATACTCAAAAGATAATGAAATAGATCCTTTTTTAATGGGAGGGGGTGCTCTGTCCCTGTCCCCACCCCTTTCCTGCGGAGCCCACTGCAGCCTGGCAGCTCCCCGACACCCACAGTTTAGGTGGAGGTTTCCATGGTGACCCCTGTAAGTACATGCTGCTGCCCCCTAGTGGTGGTTCACACGCGTGCCCCGCCCTACCCCCCCCCCATCTCCTCCAAGAACTCTGACCCTGCAAGGCAGCTCCTGAGTAGCTGCCCCTTCCTGAGACTCCTAGGAGCCCAGGACTGCAGGATCCTGAGACCGCCACATTCAGCTGCACACCCAGCAAACCATTCACCAACAGTTCTCAGCCGTTCCCGCCCCCTCCCCCCTTGATTTCTGCCCCCTCATCTACCTATCCTGAACTCCATTCAGCTAAGCCACTGAGTCTTTGTTGGACACTTCCGGTTCGAGCTCGCAGCCCAAGTACCAGCGGCAATCCTCGGCAGAGCCGGGCACACGGGGGTCAAACCTTCCTGGGTAGGGCCTACGCTTTGACCGTGGGCTTTGCCCTGAGCTTCAGCCTTGGGGGGGGGGGGGTCAAATGAGGGCAAGAAACCTAGCTAGGACTCAGTTCTCTAGCACAGTAGGACCAAACTGAGAATCACACGTGGAGATCTCTCAAACGAATTGGGCGAGGGCTCTGATCTTCCGAGAGGGGCTGGGATGGAGTAGGCACCTGGCTGGCTACGGGCGCAAGCGTGCTCCGTCTGAACCGTGAGGAACTGACACAGCACCGTGGGGCTGGGGAGATGTGAGCCTGCAGCCCGGCGAGCCTGCAGCCCGGAGAGCAGATATCCAGAAAGCCACATAAGCACTGGGTCGGCCTGCCACCCACTCTCAGAAGTCAGAGGTGGGGCTCCCGGGAGCATGCTAGCTATGGAGACCAGACATATCGGCGAGCTCAGGGCTTAATTGAGACACTGCCTCAATGAACAGGATGGAAGAGCGACCGCAGACATTTCCCAAAGTCAGACTTGTGGCCCCACACGCGCACACACACATACATACAAAACCCATACCTTAACCCCAGCCTCCGGGTGGTGGGGACAAAGACAGGCAGATCTTACTGTGTCTAACCCCTTCCCAGGGAGCACCTGTCCATTAACACCAGAGCTTAAATCCACCAAAACTCTCAATAAATCCTAATCTGATTCATATTACCTCCTACGGTGAAGTCAAGAATCCCAGCCTCACCTGAGGGGAGGCTGCAGAAGGAGCCCTAGTCTCCAGCCCATCCCCACAGAGGCAGACAGATCTTTCTGCTGCCTGATAAGAAGGATAGTTTTGAGTGTGGACTTGACACAGTGTAGAATCGCATGGCCATGAGGAACTGTCTAGAACAGGTTGAACTGTGGGCACGCCTATGAGGGATGTTCTTACTAGGGAAAAGTGAGATGGGAAGCCCCACCCTGAAGGCGGGCCCCACCCTGAAGGCAGGGCGGCATCGATTCACAGGCTGGGCTCTGGGCTCAATGAAAAGAATGTGTTAACTCATTGTTCTCCTGACTGTGAATGGGTTTTTTGTTTGTTTGTTTGGTCAGTTGGTTTTGGTTTTTCAAGACAGGGTTTCTCTGTATTGTTTTGGAGGCTGTCCTGGAACTCTCTCTCTGTAGACCAGGCTGGCTTCAAACTCACAGAGATCCTCCTGGCTCTGCCTCCCAAGTGCTGGGATTAAAGGTGTTCGCCACCAACGCCCAGCTCTGACTGTGAATGTAATTCATCCAGCTGCTTCAAGCTCGGCCACATTGATGACCCTACAACAGTGGACTGTCCGTCAAAAATGTGAGCTAAAATAAACCTTTCTCCCTTAAGTGGCTTTGGTCAGGTTGTCTGTCATTATTACCATGGAAACCAAGGTAAGGAGAGATGTTGTCAGGGATAAGACATGAGCAGAAGATGCCAGAGACACATGGGCGCTTATCAAACAGTAGCTTAGGTGATTAATAATGGTGGCCACATAGACCCTGTGGTGCACCTAACAGTAGCTCAGGTCTGCTTTGGGTCCCTCTCTTTTTTTTTTTAAGACTTATTTATTTAATATGTATAATGTTCTATCTTCATGTATCCCTACAAGCCAGAAGAGGGCACCAGATCTCATTACGGATGGTTGTGAGCCACCATGTGGTGCTGGAAACTGAACTCAGGACCTCTGGAAACTGAACTCAGGACCTCTGGAAGAGCAGATAGTGCTCTTAGCCTCTGAACCATCTCTCCAGCCCCAGACACTGAGTCTTTAACGTGGTGTCCTGGTTAGTTCTCATTGTCAACTAGAACAAGCTGGAGTCACGCAGGGAAGAGGGAATCCCAATTGAAGAACGGCCTCCATTAGACTGGCCCCGTCTGCAAGTCTTACAGTGTAAGACAATGTCTTGAAAATCAACGGGGGAGGGCCCAGCCCACCATGGGTGTCCCCATCCCTAGGCAGGTGGGCCTGGGCTGTATAAGCAAGTTAGCGGGCATAAGCCGGTAAGTGAGTAGTCCTCCGAGGTTTCTGCTCCAGGTCCCTGCCGTGAATGTGTGCCGCATCATCCCTCAGGGGTGGGCTGTGACCCGGAAGCGCAGGTTGAAATGAACCCTTTGCTCCTCTGAGTTTCTTTTGGTCATGAGGTTATCTCACCAACGCAGGTCAGACTAGGACACCAGGTAAGGATTCTTGGGCAGAGAAACCCTAGAGCCTGCCAGAGGCCTTCGTACAGCAGGGTGGTGCTAATCCTTCTGCTTGGCCCAGACTCCCAATCAGCCTGACATGAAGACACACCTCTCCACCTCTGTCCCTCTTACAGGAGCCACCGAATTATTGTGATAAAACGTTTATAATACGAGAGCCATGGGTGACGTGGACTGAGGGTACAATGCCTGCCAGACATTCATTATCATTATTCTTGACGTGTGTGGGCTCACAACCACTTCAGGAAGAGACGCTGCTCCCGTCTCCACTGGCAGATAAAGATGTGGGGGCCAGACGGGACTGGACCTGGGCTGTGCCCCCTGCAAAGGTCCATGCATTTATAATTTGGTGCCTAGCCTGGGGCTATGGGGAGGCAGAAGAATTAAGCGGTGAGGCCTGAGGGCCGGGGAGGTGGCTCCTCCGTTAAGACCAGCGGCTGCTCCCCCGGAGGTCATAGGTTCAGTTCCCAGCACCCACCACAGTCTGTAACTCCAGTTAAAGGCGATCTCACACCCTCTACTGACCTCTGAGGGCATCAGGCATCCATGCGACGCAGGCAGAATACCCACACACATAAAAAAACTTTTTGATTAAAAAAAAAAAAAGAAGTGAAAAAAAAAAAGAAAGAAAGAAGTAAGAGCATTTGGGAGGCAGAGGCAGGCAGATCTCTGTGAGTTCAAGGCCAAGCTGGTCTAGTGAGCTCTAGAACAACAGTCATGGCTACATAGAGAGATCCCTGTCTCAAAAAAAAAAAAAAAAGTGAGGCCTGGCTGGCACTGAAGTCTTCTGGTCATTAGGTACATGTCTAATGTGGATAGTGGGACCCTGGATCTCTCTTCTGCTCTGCCCCCAACTCCCACCCATTGGGGTAGGATCTCATGTAGCCCAGGCTGACCTCAGGCTTGCTAAGTAGCCGAGGATGACCTTGAACTCCTGCTCCTCTGGTCTCTACCCCCTGAGTGCTAAGGTCACAGGCACGTTCCACCATGCTCTGCTTACTCAATGCTGCGATCAAAGGCCCGGCTTCACACACTAGACCTGCATTTCACCTCTTTGGCTCCCTCTACCCCCACCTCTCCCCCTCCCTTCCTCCCTCCCCCTCCCTCCCTCTCTCCCCCTCCCCCTCCTGTACCACCATGAGCAGTTAGGCTCCCCCACATGGCTCCCACCATAACGCACTGCTCTGCCACAGGCCCAAAGGCAACAGGACCAACAGCGAACCCTAACCTCCCAAACTGAGCCAAAATAAAGCTTCTGTAAGCCTTGGGGCTTTGTGACACAAAACTCACAGAGGAGTCAAACGAGGCATCCAAGTTCACAGCCACAATGAGTGGTAGGGCCAGAATGTAAACCCAGGACCCCCAGGGTCCTATCTTGCCACGCTCTGAATATGCTCTGTGTAAAATACCCAGTTTATGTCTCCTGCCAGGACATGCAGGCAGACCTGGGGCATGTTGCGAGCATGTCCAGGCTCTGGAGGGAACTGCCTGCCACGTGGGCGGAGACTAGCCTGTCCTCACCCTCCACTAACACCGGGACCTAAATTGCACAGTGTTTGCTCCTGTGGCACCCGTAAGCCAGCCAGATCAATGCAGCGAGAGCAAATTACCTGTAATTAGAGACGATTAGTGAAATGCTAAGGTTGTGCCCATATAAAATACTGCCTCATGAAGGCCCGTGGCCAAGGCAGAACCTGCTGTGTCTGGGACGGCTCGCTCAGGGACTGCTCTAGCTTGCTGGCCCTGGTCCAGGACCCTACAGTGCTAGCTCCCCAAGGGGCCGTACCTACGGTGGCTGTCAGCCCGGTGGCAAAGGCATCATGATGTAACAGGTGTAGGAATGAGGTCTTGCCCACATTGGAGTCCCCCAGGAAGACGACATGGTAGAGGTAGTCGGGGTCAGCCTGAGACTTGCCAGCGGTGAGGTCCCCGGGGGAAGTCAGTTCAGCCTCCCCGGAGCCTGTTCCTGGGTCTTCCGGCCTGCTCTCTGCCCCTTGCTCCGTGGGCTGAGGGGTGCCGGGCTTTCTCTCCACCTGAACAGGCACGGACATGGGCCCGGGCTGAGCTTCCGGTTCAGCCAAGGTGAGGAGGGCTTCTGTGGTCTCTGGGGCACCTCCTGCAAGCCCAGCCTCAGGCCCCATGAGGGGAGAGCCTCTGAGGGGAGACATTTTGCCAGGAGCAGGGACTTCTGCCTCAGCGGGCGTCTGTGATGTGTCAGGCAGGGGATCATCTTGTTGGGGTAACTCTGGGTTCCTGGCTTCCAGGCCATGGGCCTCATCGGCCTGTTCTGACCCCAGGTGCTCCTGGCCTCTGTCTCCTGAGTTTCCTCCCTCAGGTCTGGGCTGCTCTTTGGGACTCTGGAGGAGGTGGGTAGACAGGCTATCCAGCCTCAGGACCTGGCCATGGGCTTCTGGGAAGCCCCTAGGATGACTCTCCTGTGTGGTCAGGTGCGCCTCACCCTCCACTGGTGTCTCTGTGGGTACCTGGCCCACAGGCTCCAGGCTTGGGGAGGGCTCCGCGGCCCCCTTGGGGAGAGTCATGGCTCCCTGGGACCCTATGCCAAGCTTCAGGTCCTTTGTCAGGACCTCTCTTTCCATAGGCAGCTTGGCTGGGTCAGGTCCAGGCCAGAGGCTCTTGTCACCCAGATCTGGGGCCTGGGTCTGTTTTCGGGACCCAAGTGGGGACTGAGGAGGAGGAGGAGAGAGGCCCTGAGGACGAGGCTCAGCCCCAGAAGCAAGCGGCACTCTGAAAACCGCTGACTCCATGCTCCCAGACTCCCCAGCCTGGGCTCCTGGCAGGCTCCAGAGGAGGGGGGACTTGGGCCTAGCTTCCAGGTCAGGGGTGTCCACAGTCTGCTGAGAACTGCCATCCTGCCCACCCTGCCCCTCGGGGTCCTCCACCCCTTTCCTGTCCTTGACACTGGGAGGCACCCGGGCGGGGCTTTCGGGACCTGGGTCTGGATCTGAGGTTGGCTCCCAAGCAAACTGTAAAGCATGTATATTGGAAATGGAGATCTGCCTAACTATCCGGGAAGTCTGGGGGCCTGAGGTGCCACCCGGGGTTGGGGGTGGGCTCCAGCAAAGCTGCAGGGCTCGGTGGGAATTGTCTCCAAATCTATTCAGAAGCTGGTCCCAGTCGTCATTGTCCCCAAACAGCTCAGGCAATGGGGTCTCGGTCTCCTCAGTGGGGACAGCCTGAGGGTCTGGGGCCGTCTTATTTTCTCTGGGGACACTGGGAAGGAAGGGAGAAGTGAAGGTCAGGGAGGTGGCAGTTAACTGTGTCCCCCAAATCCCGATGGCATACTTTCCTGTGGCCAGCTCTCCTCCAGGGCTGGCTGAGAGCTGAGAGCTCCCCGTCACCCCCGCCCTGTCCCATTCCATATCTCAAAACACACAGGAACCTTCACCTCCTCCAGGAAGCCTGCCCTGACCAGGCAAACCTTCTTACCTCTGAGCTGTTACAGACAGAGCAAGTACCTACCTGGGAGCTGTGTTGTGTGAGTGTGAGTGAGTGTGTATGTGGGTGTATTGTGTGTGTATGTGTGTGACTGTGTGTATGTGTGTGTGATTGTGTGATTGTATGTGTATGTGTGTGATTGTGTGGTTATATGTGTGTCTATGACTGTGTGTGATTGTGTGTGTATGACTCTATGTATATGTGTGTGATTGTATATGTATGTGATTGTGTGATTGTGTATGTGTGTGTGATTGTGTGATTGTATGTGTGTGATTGTATGATTGTGTGATTATATGTGTATGTGTATGTGACTATGACTATGTATCACTTCATGTGTGATTGTGTGTGTATGCTTATGGATGTATATGTGTGTGATTGTGTGATTGTGTATATGTGTGTCACTGTGTATATGTGTGTGTGTGGTTGTATGTGTATATGTGTGACTGTGTGATTGTATGATTATATGTGTGTGTATGACTGTGTGTGTCTATGATTTTGTATGACTGTGTGTGTGATTGTGTGCATATGATTGTGTATGTATATGTGTGTGATTGTGTATTATGTGATTGTGTGATTGTGTATGTGTGTGACTGTGTGTATGTGTGTGTGATTATGTGACTGTATGTGCATGTGTGTGACTGTGTGTATATATGTGTGTGATTGTATGTGTATGTGTGTGATTGTGTGATTATATGTGCATGGGTGTGTCTGTGTGTCTGTGTCTGTGTGTCTGTGTGCTGAGGTCTAGCTAGCTCCATGCAGAATGGACTTTCCTGACTCCCAGAAGCCACTGCTCTCTACCTGAGTCCAGAGAGGGCTGCTACTTGCCTTGGTTCTTCCTCTGCCTGCCAGGACACTCGGCCCCTGGCAGTGTTCAGATGTCCCCTTGTCACCTGCAGCTGTCCCCGCACCTCTTCTAACTGCCCAGCCAAGGCACGCTCAGCCTCGCGCAGCTGCAAGTTCTCCCGGCTGGCCTCCTGCTGGGTGCTGCTGAGGTGGAGGAGCTGTGCCTCCAGCTGTGGAGGGTGGAAGGGAGGAGAGGGTTGAGATATTCCTCTAGGGTGACAAAGCCTCCAAGTCCTTGGTGAGGCACGGACATCCTGCCCTGTGCCCCCACTGCCCAGCTCCTGAAGACCCAGCTTGCACGCGGATGGGAGGGGAGGTCACCCTGTGAGGTGTGGGGAGTGGGGAGGAAACCATGACCAGAGGACGGACGTCCTCACCATCCCCTCCCCAGGCCACGCCCTGCAGCAGCTGCTGCTGTTCCCGATCCCATCTGGACTGCAGGGGCTTCTGACCCAACAGTGACTCAGAGGTTCCCACGGCGAGATCCCACGGGGCAAGAGCACAGTCACAGAAAGACCTGTAGCGTACGGACTCTACGGTGGCCTCAGATGACAATGGAGCCCAGAACTTTCCTTTCTTTCTCTCCACCCTGCCCCCTTCTGGGTCTCACATAGCCCAGGCTAGCCTTGAACTCCTGATTCTCCTACCTCCACTTCCAAGAGTTGAGGTTACAGGCCAGTGCCCCATACCCAGCCTGTCCAAAGCTTTTCCTCTTCCTGTTGTCCCCACAGGCAACCTCATTTAACATGTGAGGTCTGGGAAGTGCTGTGGGGACAGACACCTCCTTCTCCGAGGCTGAAAGCCTAAGGCTAGGTGAGCTGCAGGCTCATTTCCCTGGGTCTGCCTGGCTCTTCAGGGGACCTGATCTGACCCATGGCAGTGTCCCCAGTGTCCCTGACATGGCAAGGAGCAGCCAGGGAGTCCTTGACTGCCTGTGGCTCCAGGAGACCTGTCCCCTGGGAACAGTGAGAAGGCTGTCTGGGCTGTAGGCTCCCCAGAAGGCCTTACTCACCTCTCTCTGGCCCGCTGCCAGCCGCTGAACCTCCTGCTCCTTGGCCTCCAGAGTCTCCTGCATGTGGGTGCTGAGGGCCATGCCCCGGGAGTCGCTCTGCAGAGAAAACGGGTCAGCCCCGCTCTGCAGACTCCAGAGTCAGCTCGGATGGGCTGCGCCTCCCCACCTCACCCCCACCCTGGCTGGGGCTCAAGGGCTGAATGGTGTCCACAGAGAGGACTTTGGGGTTCCCCACTTGGGCCTGAAATCTCACAAGGACACCGAAACCCAGAGAATAGAAATCAGTCCAGGCGGACACGGATGCCTTGCAGAGACGGAACACACGCCCAGCAGGCTCACCCCGTCTCTGGGGAGCACAAGCTGCAGGGCAGGGGGCTCCCCATGGCCTCTGTGGCCCTGCTACTAAATCTGGAGAGGCTACTTCTTAGCCACTACTAAGCCTGGAGAGGCATTTATCCAGGGCAGGGCTGCCGCCCAAGACGCTCACCTGGGCCTGCAGCTGCTGCTTCTCCCTGCGGATCTGCTCCTCCGTCTCCTCATAGAGCTGTCTCACCTTGTGGAGATGGTCAGAGGCTCGCCTGCAGTGCAGGAGGTGGGCACCAGACAGCCCCTCAGGGCCTCTGGAACTCTAGGCCTGGGACCCTTCAGCCTTGCTTACCCTCAGTGGTCTCAGACCCCTGTCATGTCACTCTGGGCCTATTGGTCACCCATCCCCCACCCCATCTATGGTCCCCATTGTCCCCACTCTCTCTACCCCCACCACCCTCAGTCACCATCCTGGCCCCATGACTCAGGCCCCCATGACAGGGCTGTGACCCTGACAGTTACAGGGTCACGGAATAGGCCCCTGGAGTTTCTTCCTCCTCAGACTCGGCTCTGCCTACCCAGTCACCCCAGAAAGGAGTAGAATCTCACTTAGGATCTCCCAGTGTGCAAGGGACGCCTGCTATGTCCCCACTCACTTCTTCAGGGTCTGCTCCAGTGCCTCCCGGTCAGCCCTTGCCTCCCGCAGGCGACCGCTCATCTTGGCCAGGAAGCCCTCCAAATCGCCTGCCAGCTGGGGCTCCTCCTGCCGCAGCTCCCCCCACAGCTTCCAGAGCTCAGCCTGCCTGGAGTATGGGAACCTCCAGAGGTTAGATACCAGAGGGCCAGGAAGGGGGGGGGCTTCTGTAGCCCAGGCTAGCTTCAGACTTGCTATGTAGCAAAGGATAACCTTGAACTCCTGATTCTCCTGCCTCCACCTCCCAAACGCTGGGGTTACTGAGTCCTGTGTCATGGGGTACTAGGGATGGAACCCACATTTGGGGTCATATATGCTAGGTAAGCATCCTACCAACTGAGCTATAGTCCTTAGTTCTAATGGCAACACTCCCAGAAACTTGGGGATCTGAGACACAAACACTACAAAGCTTAACTCAAGTAAGTGCCACCTCCTCCTGGGACATTTCTATACGTGAGCTGGCCCTTCTTGAACCCCTGTACCCTTTGTTTCCTTGTGAGTCACTGGTTAATGGGGCGGGGCGGGGTAGGCTTGGGAATTCCACAACCCAAGGCCTCCATCCACCTCCTCCCTTCGTCCGTTTTGGAGTTGTGTGGTTTCTGCCTTTACCCTCCCTGTGGTCGCTGGGAAAATACGAAGGCCAAGACTTGCCAAGCAAGATTATTTGGGGAATGAGAGACATGCCAAGGGTGGGTGCCAGCCCTGGGCCCTGCCCACGGTTGGCACTCGGTACACACTGCTTTCACAGGGGCTTAATTAAGTCATGAAGACAGAGGCCCAGAGGGCGAGGGAGCAGGGCCAAGCTGCCAAGTGGGTAAATGGCTCCCTGCTCCACCTGCTCTGCCAGCCTACGCCCCAGGTCCCTCCCAGCCTGTCCCACAGCAGCAGCCCCACCCTCTGAACCAGATGGGAGCAATCTCATCCTTCAGAGGCCTGTGGGTGGAGGAGCAAGTGGGAGCGGGTGACTGACTGACTGACTGACTGACTGACTGACTGACTGACTGACTGACGGGGAGGGAGTCCCTCTAGCAGGCCTCGAGGCTGTGGTAACTCAGGAAGGGTCCCTCTTCTCAGCACATACGACAACCCCCATACGCCCAGGGCCTGAGCCCAACACACACACGCACACACACACACTGCAGGAATTGGCCTCCTGTCTCCAAACCCACCCAGCCCAGAGCACCCCCATGTCTGAAGTCACCCCACTGAGGAACCCTCAGGGAGTCTCCGGGTGTCCCTCAGAGGTGATACTCCAGACGGCTGATCTTTCTAGGCTGTGTGGAGAGAGGGAACCCTCTAGGCATGCTGAAGCAAGGAACAGAGGTCATGCTATCAAGTGGCCAACCTTGGGTCTGCACCCAGCCCTACCCTGAGCCCTCACCCCTACCAACTGGCAGGGCCTTACTCAGAAAGGGAGTGGCCAGTCCCCATCTGCCCTACAAGGGCCAGGAAGGCCTCCTTCTCCTTGGCATCGGCCTCCTCGAGGGCAGGCAAGTTGAAGGTCGCAGATACCGGTTGAGAGAGCGCCAGCCGCTTTCTGCGGAGCCTGTGGGTACTGGGGCTGGAGCCAAAGACATTTTCTGGGGGACAGAGGGGGAGGGAGGGGAGATGAGCTCTGATTTCCCTTGAACCTCACCCCCATATTTAAACAGGGACACATTCATGCATGCCTCAGATCAGTCTTGGGAGCCTCATGAAGTGGGAGTGCCCGTTTCACTCATCACCTGAGGCCCAGGGTGCCAAGAGACTCTCTGGAAGTCACAGGGCAGCTCCAGAGTAACTCACAGGGGTCACCCACTCTGGAAGTGTTCATTGAACAGTCACTGCGAGCTAGTGACAGACTTCAGTCACATCCCAGGCCTCAGGGAGCCGACATTCTAGCTCAAGGGTTGAAAAGGACCCGACTTCTCGCGTGTGTGTGTGTGTGTGTGTGTGTGTGTGTGTGAGAGAGAGAGAGAGAGAGAGAGAGAGAGAGAGAGAGAGAGACTGAGAGAGAGAGAGAGAGACTGAGAGAGAGAGAGAGAGAGAGAGAGAGAGAGAGAGAGAGAGAGAGAGAGAGAGAGAGAGCACACGTGCACCACAGTATGCATGTGGAGATCAGAGGACAGCTTTCTGGAGTCAGTTCTCTCCTTCTGTCAAGTGGGTTCTGGGGATTGAATGAGAGGTCCAGGCGTTACACTGACCTGCCCTGTCACCTGGCAGAATGCACTCAGGCAGCACTCTGGCCAGCCCAGGGTTCCATGAGTGCAGTCTGCACGCAAGGTGTAAAGGACCCTTTTAAAAGACAGACCCCGCCCACTGACGCCCTTATCTTACTCTTCTTCCTACCTCTCTCTCTCTCTCTCTCTCTCTCTCTCTCTCTCTCTCTCTCTCTCTCTCTCTCTCTCTCTCTCTCTGTGGTCGCTCCTGTTTCACCTTTCGCCCCTTCTAATTTCTAATTTCTAATCTTAAGCAAAACAACATTGGACTCAGGTCATCATGCTTGGCATCAGTCGCCCCCCAAGCCATCTTACAGGCCCTTTTTCTTATTCTTTTTCATAAAACAAATCTGTTAAGTGACTTCAAGAAAAAAACTGGGGAAACCGGGCAGTGGTGGCGCACACCTTTAGTCTCAGCACTCGGGAGGCAGAGGCAGGCGGCAGAGTTAGAAGGATTTCTGTGAGTTCAAGGCTAACCTCGTCTACATAGGGAGGTCCAGACCCGCCAGGGCTATACAATGAGGCCTCATTTTAAAACACAAAATGAAACAAATAGTAATAAAATGAAGCAAACAAACCAGTGGTTTCCACTGAATTGGGGGTGGGGCTACGCTAGAGGGAGAGGGAGCCTAGGAATGCCCTGAGAAGATGACAGGAACAGACATGTCACTTGCAAGCAGGACCCGGAGAGGGTTTCCAGAGGCGGACACTTTGGGCAGAGAGACCCCACCATACAGGCCTGAGTGAGGAGCTCGGCTGGTAGGCAGAGGGGCACATGGTCGTGGGTGAGCTTGCCAGGCTGGTAGGATATGCATGGTGTGTGCTCTATGGTCCCAGAAAGGGACAGCGGGAAATCCACAGCGTGGGAGCAGGGTTGGCTTTGCGAAGACGACGCTTGGGGACTCCGCGCACACAGCACCACCCACGCCCAGTTCCAAGCTGGTTCCTCCACTCCACCCCCGGCTTCTCCATCACCAAGACAAGGGCGACGCCAGGCTGTGAATACTGATACCCGGCCCCTCTGCGGTCTCCTACACCCCAAGCTTTTAAGCCTGGCAGCCTCGGGAACCCGCTGCTCAAGGCTGGGATATCTTATTGAGGCTCTGAGAGGAAGCCATCCCACCTTGCTCTAGGCCAAAATGCCTGCCTTACCAAAAGGCTCATTTGGAGGAGTTGCCCTGATGTCGGGGCCCCTCCTGAGGAGCAAGTGATGGGGTACCACCCCTGCCTCGGCCCCTGGTGCCTCCACCTGCTCTCCATCCGCCAGATACCACCCTCTGGGACCTGGAGCCTGGAGTTGTCTTGACTGAGGCTGGAAATCAACCTCCTGGAGCGGTGGCAGGGGCGGGGCGGGGCGGGGTGGGGGGAATGGGCTGGGGGAGGATGGGCTTGGGGGGCGGTTGCAGCCCAGTCTCCCCTCAACGCAAGGAAGCGTTTCTCCTCTACAGGAGACTACCAGGGAGGGTCCTAGGGGAGCAGCTGATAGCTCTCAGATGCAGTGAGGGCCCCTGGCCTGTCACACAGCCCGACGCTGAGCTAGAAGCCTCCCGGGCCCTGCCAGGACAGACGCATACTGAGTCCGGAGCTGAATTCGTCCAGCGACAAGCGGCCCCTGTTCTCGACGTCTACCCAGTCAAATATCATCTGCGGCTCCTCGCTCCCCAGGAAGCTGAACTTGACCTCCTGGAAGGAAGGGATGAGTCAGTTGGCCACTGTTCCTACAGGAGAGGCTGCTTTCCTTCTTCCCGGGGGCAGGGTCACTTAGGGCCTGCCCAGCAGCGGTTCCCCACACAGCACAGCGCTAGGCATCCCTGAGTAGGGCCCTGAGCTGGCTCAAAGTCACCTCCCTGTCACTACCCAAAATCCACACCTATGTGTTCCCCCCTCGGTGGGAGGAGGGCATTTGAATGGCATCTGGCACTTGTTTGCTTGATTGATTGCTTTGGGGGGTGGAAATGGGGTCTCTCTATTATGTAGCCCTGGATATACTGGAACTCACTATGTAGACCAGGTTAGCCTCATACTCAGAGATCCACCTGCTTCTGCTTCCAGAGCCCCAGGATAAAAGAGGTTCAAGTGCCAGGCAGTGGTGGCATCCAGCTTTGATCCCAGCACTCGGGAGGCAGAGGCAGGTGGATCTCTGTGAGTTCCAGGACAGCCTGGTCTACAGAGTGAGTTCCAGGACAGTCAGAGTTACACAGAGAAACACTGTCTTGAAAAGAAACAGAGAAAGAGAGAGAGAGAGAGAGAGAGAGAGAGAGAGAGAGAGAGAGAGAGAGAGAGAGAGAGAGAGAGAGAGAGAGAGAGAGAGAGAGAGAATGCTGTTATGGGCAGGAGAGATGGCTTCAGTAGCTAAGAGCCTGGGTTGCTCTTTCAGAGAACCCGAGCCGGGTTCCTAGCAGTCAGAAGGCTCACAACAGCCCCCTAACTCTAGCTCCTGAGGATCCAACTCTCTCTCTGCAGGCACCAGTGTTCACAGGCACAGCTGTGCATGTGTTTGTGGAGTCCAGAGCACAGCGTTAGCCATTGGTCCCCAAGCACCATCCAACTATCCATCTTTGTTTGAGAGTCCCTGAATAGCTCAGCCTCCCAGGGTCTGGAAGTACAAGCATGTCTCCATAAATGTTTGATGCGTACATCTATTTTATAGGCTTATATCCCCAGATATTATAAAATATTTCTCCGGTGAAAGGAGCCAAGTGGAAAAGTTTAAGAAGCCATGCCCTAGACCACAGAGTGTAGCTAATTCACCTCACAGAGCTGATTAAGGCAGAGTCACGTGTGAACTTGCAGATTCTGCCGAGGAACATGGTAGATAATTTCTGTCTGATGAGACAGATAACTCCATGATTTATGGCCTGTTGGACTTTCACTAGCTGTAAAAAAAAATTACTAACTCAGCAATCTGGCTCTAATCTGTCTTTGTTAAATTGCCCAACTTTCTAAAGTGCTCTTTGAACCATGCACAACGCTAATTAACACATTAAATAAAATCTCTGAGGGTTTGGGATGTGGCTTGGTGATAGAGCGCTCGCCTAGCATAGAAGAAAAAGCACCCACTTTGACACGAGCCTGTTTTGTATTTGCCTATAGGTCATGATTTTACTCTCTGAACAATTACCGTCTCATTATCCTAGAGAGTGCAGGGCCTGTGAATTCTGCACTCCGTTGATAGATCTGAGAGAAGTTTCTTCCTCTGAATATTTAGTTTTGTTTTGTTCTTTTGTTTGTGATTTTGGTTTTTTGGGTTTTTTTGTTTGGTTTTTGTTTGTTGTTTTGTTTTTTTTTTTGGGTTTTTTTTGTTTTTGTTTTTGTTTTGATACAGGGTTTCACTATATTGTTTTGGAGGCTGTCCTGGAACTCTCTCTGTAGACCAGGCTGGCCTTGAACTCACAGAGATCCACCTGCCTGTCTCCCGAGTGCTAGGATTCAAGGCATGTGTCACCAACGCCTGACTTGTTACAGGCTTTCTCTGTGTAGCCCTGGCTATCCTGGAACTTGCTCTGTAGACCAGGCTAGCCTTGAGCATTTTAAGCTATTTTCGATCCTTGACTTGGTTTCTCCGTTAGGACCTTGTTCTAAGCAGTCTCTGTGCCCTGGACTTGCCCGATTACGGCTCACGCTCCACATTGCAGGGCCCTCCCCTTCAGTCTTTGGCAAACTGAATCAAACCACGTAGAGCAGCATTCAAATCTCTCTACCCTTCGTAGGAGATTCAGAAACCAACGGAAAAAACTTGTGCTGACTCTCCTTATATGCCAGGACATTCTAGGTCTTTTGCGCAGGTTCAAAGGAGTCTGCCTTCCTATTCTACCAGGACAGAACTGGAAAAGACAATCATGCAACCCAGCACCTCCTTGGGTGTCATTTTTCTATAAAGGCCCTCACGTAGCCAGCTGTGACGAGTTGGCTCTCAGGGATAGCCTGGAGCCTGAGCTGTGAAACTCTCAGGAGGCCGGGGCCGTGGAACAAGGAAAAGTCTTTTCCAGGCAGGAAAACTGGTCAGACCTCCAAGGGTCACTGGCTGGAGAGTGGGGCTGCGTTTGTAGCTTGACATTGGATGAAGGCTGACAAACTGTCCCAGAACTGGCACTCAAGGGCCCACATCCCAGATGTCCCTTAAGCCCTCGGGAAGCTGGATGACTAATCTGTATCAATGTGGCTGGATCTAGTGCCACCTGGGAGATGCCTCTGGGTATTTCTGTGAGGGACTTTGCAGAGAAGGTTAGTCAAGGGAGGCAACCCACCTAGAATGTGGGTGGTACCATCCCATGGACCTCAATAAGAAGAAGAAAGCAGCCAGTGGGACAGTAGTGACGCACGCCTTTAATCCCAGCACTCGGGAGGCAGATCTCTGTGAGTTCAAGGCCAGCCTGGTCTACAAAGTGAGTTCCGGGACAGCCAGGGCTACATGGAAGACCCTGTCTAGGAAAATAAGAAAGGGAAGAGGAAGAGGAAAGCAAGCTGAGCACCAGTGCTCCTGCCTCTGCTTCCTGACTGTGGACACAATGTGACCATCTGCCTCAACTCCTGCCTTCCCCGCCATGATGGACTGTGAGCCACAATAAACCCTTTTCTCTTAAGTTGCTTCTGGTTGGGTCTCATTTCAGGTTCTCACTGCTACGGCAAAGATAAAAAAAATGAAAACAGCTGATCATCCAACAAACCAGCAACACCAGGAGGCTTTAAAAGCTCCACCTATGATTCCATGTGGAAATTTCTAGATAGGAGCTAGTTTTAGTCTAAGTGTTGATTTTGCAGCTTAAGCCTAAGGAAGCTTGTGTGTTTACACCCTGGCTTCACCTATAGCAATAACTAAGGTCAACCCAACCATCTCTTCATACAATCAAGAAATACAGAAATTGTTTATAACCACAAGAAAAATTTATCTGAAACTTGAGAATAAGACAAAAAGGTAAGATCATCTGTAACTATTAGAGGTGGAGGCTGTCCACACACAGTCCAGACCAGGGGAGTGGACTGGTCATCTTGCTGTTTTTCTTTTTGTTTTTGAGACAGGGTCTCACTACGAAGCCCTGGCTAGCCTGGAGTTCAGTATGTAGATAAGATAGCCTCCTGGATGAAAAAGGTCTAGACTCAGGCTCTGTGTGATGTAAAGTGACCTCTGAATCTAAGCATCCTCCTGGCAGGCAGAGGAGGTCATGAGACTCTCCTGGCCAGAGCCACGTGTCTAAGGAAGCTGACAGGAGCAGGGCTCTGGGGGACCCCTCCCCAGCTTACTCTGACCAGCCTGCATCAGAGCAGAGAGATCCCTGGACCACTGAGCTGCCTACAGATTGTGCAGAGCTCCAGGGTTGCAGCTTTTGTGAGTTGTCACCCCTATTGGGGTGGGCTCTTTGATGATGCAGTTGCTTTTGGGTCATTCCAGTTCCTCTAAGTCCTCACCCCTGCTCCTGTCAGGAACCCCAACAAAAACTCATTGATTCAACCAAGTTGCTACTGCTTGGACCTAGTAGTACTTGTGTGTGTGTGTGTGTGTGTGTGTGTGTTTTGCACCTCCCCAGAAAAAGTCTCTCACATACTACCAAGCAAGCATGATGACCTGAGTTTTATCTCAAGAACCTTGTAAAAGCAAGCTAGATTTGGGTGTATCATCTGTCATCCTAACTCTTCTTCTACTCCTAGATGGGAGATCAAAACAGGAAAATTGGCCAGAAGCTTAAATAGCACAATGGCAGAAGCAAGAGACCCTACCCCCCACAAACACACACACATATACAAACACGCCCATGCACAAATACACACCCATGCACAAACACACACAAATACACCCATTCATGAACATACATGCACAAACACGCACACAGACACAAACATACACACCCATGCAAACTGAAACACACACACATATCCAAACACACCCATGTACAAACACATGCCCACGAACAAACACACACAAATACACCCATTCATGAACACACACACACATGCACAAACACACTCACATATACAAACACACCATGCAAACTCAAACACACACACACATACACAAACACACCCAGGCATGAGCACACACACAACACATACACACAGTCTTATTTTTTTAAAGTCCCAGACTTACTGAAGTCACTCATTAACTTAAGAGTTTCGTCTAGGAAGTATGAAGTCAGTTTCTGGCAAGGAGTTACAAGCTGTTGGACATTAGCCATTTTTTTTTCCAAATTGAACTCGGCAATCTTACCCTAACGCCTTCCTGTCAAATTGCTTGTGAGTATCCAAGCTCAAGGGCTCTGGGCACTAGTCATGACATTTTTCTGTAATCCCTAGTTAATTAACAATAAGTTAGATAAGATCTGCTTTGGCTGGTGAGATGGCTGCCCAGGTAAAGGTGCTTGCCCCGAAGCCTGACAACCCGAGTTCAACCCTGGTGGAAGGAAAGAACCAATTTACACAAGTGTCCTCCGACGTCCACACACCCACTGTGGTGTGCATGCCCTCCACCCACCTGTGTGTGTGTGCGCACACACACACACACACACACACATAAATAAATGTGCCCGATATGTAGCCAAGGACAACTTCACGGGTGTGAGCTACCACACCCAGCTCACCCTGTGCTGAAGCTGAACCCGGGGCCTTGTGCACGCTAGGCAAGCACTCCGCCAACTGAGCCACATCCCCAGCCTCTACAGCAACAGTTTTAGTAGTGAGAGGACAAAACGGAGTGTGGAGTGATACCCAGAAGTGACATCAGACCCGTCAAGAGAGCAACCCACACAGGCCCTTCTGCAGCAAATGAGAAGAAAGCATCGGCCACCTTGGTCTGGGCCACAGGCTTTCAGACGCTTAGTGGAATCCACGGCTATGGCCACTCTCGGGGCTCACACTCATCAACCTACTTAGGTTCCTAGTGCTCCGATGCCCCCCAAGATGGATATCCAGCTCTAAACACCTCAGCTGGGTGTAGTGGAGCCTGCCTGTCATCCCAGCACCGGGGAGGGCAAGGCAGGACAGCTGAGGGTTAGACACCAGCCTGGGCTATATAGAGAGACCTGGCTCAAAAACCTGTCTCAACAGCAGGGCAGTGGTGGCGCACGCCTTTAGTCCCAGCACTCGGGAGGCAGAAGCAGGCGGATCTCTGTGAGTTCCAGACCAGCCTGGTCTACAGAGCGAGTTCCAGGACATGCAGGGCTGCATAGAGAAACCCTGTCTCAACGACAACAATAATAATGTCTTTAAAAATCACTCACACAGCACCATTTGTGAAGTTACTTCTATGGTGTGACCTTCTCTCCTCTGTTAAAATGAAAATGTTTCTGGGAAAGGGTGATATTGGTGTAAACAAATTCTTAGTGACTTCTGACAGTGCAGAGGGTGCAGAGGGGAGCAGGCAGGCAAGCTAAGCGCTGGCTAGAGAGGGAAACTGGAGAGTTTGCACCAAAGGGACCCCAGGCTGATGGACCCTCATGCTCACCGCCAGGTCCTCGCGGGTGACAAAGCCCCTCTCTTCGGCACCGCAGTCTCGGAAGAAAGACCACAGCTCTTCATTGGCCTGAGAGGACCAGGACTCAGGCTCCGGGGCCTCGGGGGCATCCTGACCATCCGCTGGTTCTCGTATCCGCCTCCGGCGACTGGACGCCAACTTCCGGCCCTTTCTGGACCCTCCCTTTCCATCCTCCATGGTGCCTCGGACCTGGGGACAGAGAATAAATAAGAGGGTGATGGGCCACAGCACAGAAAGCCCTAGCTCTGCACCCTGCCTGCTGAGAACAGCCAGCATCTCCATCCTTCCATGGCTGACGGACTCACTCATGGCTTGGTCCACCCACCATGATCTCAATACATCTCCCTGCCCCGTGGAATGTCAGCCTGGAACACTCCTTCCCAGTGGTTCTCGGATCCTCCTGCGGGTCTCTATCCCAGTCTCAGAGTCTACTACATGGAGGAACACCTGACAGGGAAGGCCCTGCCTCCTAACCTCGGGGAGACCTGGAGTCCTTGGGACTTTGCATGGGTCTGGAAGCAGGAAGAGCTCCCTGACCTCTCTTGCTGTTGTCCCTGTAGCTGGAGTCCTCATCCCCAACGCAACAGAGCGACTGACGGATCTTGTTCTCCACTGTCATCTCCTCAGCCTCATCCCTCCATCTTTCCCTCTTCTCAACACACTGTGTGTGCAATGTGCGTGTATGTGCGTGTGTGTGTGTCTGTGTGAGTGTATGTTTGTCTATGTGTGCATATGTGTGAATATGTGTGTGTCTATGTGTGTGTACGTGTGTCTATGTGTGTGTGTGTCTGTGTGTGTGTATGTCTGTGTGTGTGTATGTCTGTGTGTGTGTGTTTGTGGGCATATGTGTGTATGTGTGTGTCTATATGTGCATATGTATGTATGTGTGTATGTATGTATATGTGTATGTGTGTGTATGTATGTGTATGTGTGTGTGTTCAGAAACCAAAGAAGGACACGAGACGTCTTGCTCTCACTGTCTCCATGGTGTTTCCCATGGGACCTAGCACTTGCTGTTTTTCAGCTAGGCTGGCTGGCAAGCAAGTCCCAGTGGTCTTCTGTTACTGCCTGCCCAGCCCCTGTGTGGCCAGGCCTGGCTTTACACGAGACCTGGGGATCTGAACTCTAGTCCTTATGCCTGCGCAACAGGTCCTCATATCTACTGATCCCGGGCTCTCGTTTCTCTCTTTGACACAAACGGGGTTGTCCCTGCCTCCCCAGTTCTTAGGACCCTTCATGCCACAATCCCTTCTCCTCCCCTCCTTGCACCCCCCTGGTTCATAGGAACCACGGTGAACCCGGTGAACCCGCTGGTGGCTCCCGAACACTGGATTTCCTCCCGCCCCGGCTCCCTTCATCCCAGAGCACCACCGCACCCTGCTAACTAGCATCTCCCCTCCCCCCTCATAGGCCCTCTCTGCAGGTACTGCTCGCCTTGAGTTTGAGGTGAAGGCCAGGGCCCTTGCACTGCGTGCAGTGGGGACCCTGCGTCTAGGGTGTTGGGACAAGAGCAGAGTCTCCAGGAGGCTGGTGATGTTTGAGGAAGAGCACAGCATGTGCAGAGGGAGAAGCAGAGGCCGAGCCCAAGATGGAAGGATACCTCCGTGGGAGTCAAAAGTCACTGGCAGGCCAGGCGTTGGTGGTGCACGCCTTTAATCCCAGCACTCGGGAGGCAGAGGCAGGCGGATCTCTGTGAGTTCAAGGCCAGCCTGGTCTACAGAGCGAGTTCCAGGATAGCCTCCAAAGCCACAGAGAAACCCTGTCTCGAAAAACCAAAAAAAAAAGTCACTGGCAGACTGGGAGGAGAGCAGAAGGCCTGTGTGTGTGTGTGTGTGTGTGTGTGTGTGTGTGTGTGTGTGTGTGTGTGTCTTGCATGCAGGAACGGTGGCCCATCCAGGGGACAGGTAACGGTCACAGGCCCTCCCCTGAGACAAGCAGCCCACACAACAGCACAGAGTTCAGGGAAAGCCAGCACTCACCTGTCTAGGTCCCAGCTCTCTCTCTCTCCTCCTCTGTCTCTGTCTATCTGTCTGTCTGTCTGTCTCTCCCTCTGTCTCTGTTTCTCTCTCTCTCCCTCTCTCTCTTTCTCCTCTCTCTCTCTCCCTCTCTCTCTCAGGAATTTAGCAGAGTCACTGTTTCCGGGGTAGACATCAGAATGAACAGCTGTTTTCCAGAAATGCTTTGGCCTTGAAGGCTCACTGTGGAGAACAGTGATTGTTTTCCGTGATTTATAGAGTTGTTTTACTGAAGGGGACGTTGCAGCCATCCCATGACGTTGGTCACGAGATGTCTCTGGCACACCTGAGGCTCTTGTATTATTGTGTATTGCAAACGATACACAGTAAAAGCCTAGAGTCATGAGGACATGGGATGCTCTCCCTCAGTGAGACATGTGAAATAGGTTAGGTACCTTGGTGTGTGAGGAGAAACTTTGTGTAACAATCAGTGAATATGTGCCTTTGTGTGGGTTCAGTTCGTCAGAAGAGGCTGGACTTTCCTGATGTCACTTAGGCCTTAAAATTCCATCCTGGAATGTCTTCCTTCTTCAAGCAATCCGGCCACACAGTACACCCTGACACTTTCTCCCCAAGTGTATACTGCAAGCAGAAGTACCTCTCTCCCTGCCAAAGGACACTGGCAGCACACATCCACACTGACACAGCACACATCCACACTGACACAGCACACATCCACACTGACACAGCACACATCCACACTGACACAGCACACATCCACACTGACACAGCACACAGCATCACTGACACAGCACACAGCATCACTGACACAGCACACATCCACACTGACACAGCACACAGCATCACTGACACAGCACACAGCATCACTGACACAGCACACAGCATCACTGACAGGGGAAAAGCAACAGTAAGCACGGGTCCATGTAAGACACTCTCGGTACATGAACTTAAAGATGACATATGATTCTTAGGTGGGTTTCCTAGCCAAAAAGAGAAGGTAAAGAAGAATTTGCAGTCAGGTGCAGAGGTACAGGCCTGTAATCTCATCGGGCAAGAGGCTGCAGCTGAGGAGATGGCGTAGCCCATGAGAGGACTGTGTGCAAGCATGAAGACCCAAGTTCAAACACCTGACACCACACAGAAGGACTGCGCATGCCTTCGACTTGAGGATGCGGGAGGAAACGGGTGGACATCGGGAGCTTGCTGGCCGGCCAGCCCAGCTGAAACGGTGAGCTTCTAGTTCAGGCCAGATTCCTTTTCTTAAGGACGTGAGGCAGAGAGAAATAAAGGGATACACAAGACATCGTGCTGTGGCCCATGCTTGTATGTGCATGAATACAGACACTCGTGCGCATGCGACAGACACACACACACACACACACACACACACACACACACACACACGAAGCAGGAGGATCACTGTAAGTCTGAAGCCAGCCTAGACTACATAGACAGACCCTGCTTCAAAAGACATGAAAAGCTAGAAGCTATTCAAAGGATGAAAAAACGGGTGTGATGGCCCAGCAGATAAAGGCATTTACCACCAAGCATGATGACCTGAGTTCGAGCCCCGGAATCCACCTGGCAAAAGAAGAAAACTGACCCTATATGTCACTCACTTAGACACACACACACACTCACACACACAGGACAGGAGTGGCTCTACACACACACACACACACAAAATGTGATTTTTAAGGTGTTTTGGGAGAACAGCTAGGGAAATATTAAATATAGGTTGTGTCTGGAAGCTGTTGCTCCCCGTGTGGTGACCCTGGAGGTACTAGAATCATGGTTGGACCCTCTTTTAAAAGACATTCATTGAGCCAGGTGTTTGATGGCACGTGTCTTTAATTCCAGCACTCTGGAGGCAGAGGCAGGAGGATCTCTGTGAGTTGAATAACCAGTCTGGTCTACAGAGTGAGTTCCAGGGCAGGCCAGCCAGGACTACACAGTAATCTCCTGTCTCAGAGTATCAACAACAAAGATATCTGAGGAAGGGGGGGGCTGTGATCCGGCTGTCCACCTTCCAACGGTTACAATAAACACACACAGACAACAGGAAGTGTGCGTGCCTCGGGGCATGTGAATAAGAGCAAGCGTCTCCATCTCATTGTATGTCGGTCAAGGTACATGGCTCAGTTCTGTAGATTCCAAAGTCTTTAGGAAGAGCCTTGAAGGCAAGAATGTTCTGGGGGATGTCCTTTTACTCAGCCGCCCGGATGTCACCAGTGACTGCCACACGCGTTACCCACGCTGCTACATTGCACGGTGATGGGCATGTGCTCCTCCTTGGGCCACACCCGCTCACACCCAGAAAGCCTCCATGCAACATCCCCAGCAGAGAAAAGCCCCTCCCTCCAGGCAACATGACCCTCCATGGCTATTAGGGGGCAGCTGTGGCCTCAAGGTTACAGTCAAGGAAAGACCCGCTGAATGCAGGTACCAGCAGAGGGTGAGGCCACCCTCATGACCTAGAGATGAGGGAAGGGAGGCTCCATGAGGAGAGTGACGTCAGGTGGACCTCTTTCCCTGCAGCCTCAGACGAGTCACTTACCCTCTCCGTGCCCTGGTTTCCTCACTAGGAGCAGAGAAGTACCCGGGTGTGGCTACGCCTGCCAGTAATCCCTGGGGAGGCTTAGACAGGAGGATCACTGTATTCAAGACCAGCCTAGTGTACAGAGTGAGACCTTCTCTCTCTCTCTCTCTCTCTCTCTCTCTCTCTCTCTCTCTCTCTCTCTCTCTCTCTCTCTCTCTCTCTCTCTCTCTCTCTCTCTCTCTCCCCCTCCCCCTCCCTCCCTCCCCCTTCCTCTCTCTCTCCCCTCCCTCTCTCCCCCTCCCTATCTCTCTCCCCTCCCTCTCTCTCTCCCCCTCCCCCTCCCTCTCTCCCCTCCCTCCCTCCCTCTCTCTCTCTCTCTCTCTCTCTCTCTCACACACACACACACACACACACTGCGCGCACAGCACAGAATAAAAAGAACTATCAAACTAACATCTACCACCAGAATCATGTGAGTGTCAAACATGATAATTAACGTTGAAACCATCCCACTCCTAGCTAGGTTCCATTTTATCTTAATTTTCATTCTTAGAAATGTCTTTTGCTCATTTGTCCTGTAAATTCAAATCTCCTTGCAGTGAACTGTAAACAGTGCTTGGCATACAGCTGGCGCTTACAATCATTTGTTGGCTCTGGTCGAGCACTGTGCTGGCCCTCAGGGCCTGCTGGGTGAAGGCAGCGAGGGCAGTGACGGTTACATCACCGACGAGGGTGGGGTTCAAAGCGGTCCCCGTACAGCAGTTGGGGTCCCTATAGATCCAACCAAAAGCTGAGGGGACTGACTGCCCGTCTGTCTCATCAGGGTGAACCTCCCCAAGGCAATTCCTGGAGCCATGATTCTGCAATTGGGGAGGGGACGCAGATGCCCAGGGAAGCAGCCCTGGGAGGGACAAAGATTTCACAGTCATCCAGATGTAGTCCAGGGGTGCTTCCTGGGCAGCAAGGGCTGGCCCTGAGCTCAGAAAGTCAGGGCAGTTTCGCAGTACTTCCTGCGAGCTGATTAGCACACAGAAACAGCTAGATAAGATGGACCTCCAGAACCCATGCTGGGGAGAGCCCTCATGAGAAACCTCAGCGTTGTCAGCCGGGTCTCACAGCCAGAGGAGGTAGACTCCCGAAATAAGCCGCTGAAATGCGGGGACTACGCTCACCAGGGTTCCCATGACATTTCATGGGCAATTGGCACCTGGGGTCACCTCATTCAGCTCCATCAGGCAGGGACCTCAGTGTCTAGACCATCAGGAGGTCCAGGGAAGGGAGTCAGCCTGTCCCCTGCAGCCAGAGAGGCCCCTAGTGTCCGAGCACTGGTCACCAATGATCAGGACATCTCTGGCCGTCACTGTCTCCTATTCCCTTACAGCATACCCTAACGTACTGTGTGTCCCTATTTTAGGGACAGGAATGGCCACTGAGAGACAGCGGGAACCTCCTTTGGTGAGCTCGTAAATGTGTGTTCTCTCTCTGTGTGTGTCTCTCTGTCTTTGTCTCTGTGTGTGTGTGTGTCTGTGTGTGTGTGTATGTATGTCTCTGTGTGTGTGTCTGTGTGTGTATGTATGTCTCTGTGTGTGTGTATGTGTTTGTGTGTGTGTGTGTGTGTGTGTTATAACCCATCTCCCCTCATACTCAGCTCTCAGATAAAACCCTTTACCCTCCTCCTTCGGTGACTACAAAGGACCCTTTTGTAGTCACCCATGGTGCTCTCTGTCCACGCCCGTCTCAGCCCTAGTCTCCTGCACACCCTGCTCAATGAGAGACCCTCACCACTAGTAAGGCACACACAGCCCCTCAGCACCCAAGTGTCGCTCACATTTCTTCCCTGAGACACCACCCAGAGCCTGAAGTAAACTCAGTCACCGGCCAGTGAGCCCTGCTGCCAGCCACCGTCGGGACGGCGTCAGGATGGGACAGCATGGATTTTAGCTAGTAGAGCAGAGCCCCCAGGCCTCCCATCAAGATCTGGAGAGAAACTAAGAATGAAGGAGCAGGGGACACAGTGGGACCACAGCCTGCCATCTGCCAGAGCTGTAGGGCCCCTTACCCGCCCCCCAGCCTGTCGGAGGACCGAGAAAAGGAGTCAGTTCAGCATGAAACTTGCCGCAGGAAAGGCCAACCATGGTCACGGCCAACGCCCCTGAGAACCACCTAGTCCTGTGGCCTTCTCCCCACCTTCGCTCACTAGCCGCTAGAGAAACCAAGTGTCCAAGAAGCCAGAAGACCTGCCCGGTGTCACAAGCCCACAATTGCCTTCTCACTCACTGGAGATGACACCCACAGCCTGGGCCTCTATTACACAGTCTGAGGTACCAAAGCTCAGCTCTGTGCTCCCCTCTCTGAAGTTAGGTGGGAACAGGGCAGTATAATCCCAGCACGCCAGAGGTGGAGGCAGGAAGATGAAGAGTTCAAGGTCATCTTTGACTACATAGTGAGTTCAAGGCCAGCCTGCGCTACATAAGACCCCATCTCAAAAAAAAAAAGTATATGCCATAATCCCAGTATTTAGGAGGCAGAGGTAAGTGGATCTCTGCCAGTTCAAGGGCAGCCAGGGCTACATAGGAAGACCCTGTCTCAGAGGAAGGGAGGAAGGAAGGAAGGAAGGAAGGAAGGAAGGAAGGAAGGAAGGAAGGAAGAAAGGAAGGAAGGAAAGAAAAAAACTGCATGGGGCTGGGCAGTGGTGGTGCACACCTTTAATCCCAGAATTTGGGAGACAGAGGCAGAAGGATCTCTATGAGTTTGAAGCCAACCTGGTCTACAAAGCAAGTTTAGGACAGCCAGGGCTGTTACACAGAAAAGTCTTGTCTCAAAAAATAATTGAAATAGAAAGGAAGGAAGGAAGGAAGGAGAAAGAAAGAAAGAAAGAAAGAAAGAAAGAAAGAAAGAAAGAAAGAAAGAAAGAAAGAAAGAAACTGCATGGGCCCTTATCACCACCCCCCACCCCCCACCACCCCTCCAAGCAGCAGCACTGCAATGGGGCAGCTCCTACCTCTCAGAAGCTGTGTTTGCAGTCCGTCACTCCTGGATGCTGTGGGTAGGTGACTGTCTGCTGCCCACAGAGCAACCGTCAACAGTCTTGTCTCTTGCTCAATCGCCCCTTTCCGTTCCCTGGCTGCCCATCTCCTGCGATCATCTAGGGAACTCCCCGTAGAAATGGGCCCTGGTTGCACTCTGTGTCTTGCCTGATGCCCGGGGTCCTGGTCTGTTCCACACAAGACTAGAACTTGGGCTTCAGTTTCCTACCACAGTGTCCTCAGCCCAGGAGGAGGGTCCAGAGAGACCACTCGGGCTACAAATGTGCAGAAAATGCCACAGGGGAACAATACCCCTCCTTAACTCTGGGTTCCCACTCAAGGACAGCCTATTTGACTAGGAGAGGAGGCTTATATCAAACTCCTTTCTTAGGAAGCAGACTGAGCCAATGCCAAAATATGTTGCAGAGCCACGATCATGAGAACAGTGTGGTCCTGGAGCATGAAGACAGGTGATTGAAGCTGCGGGATGGATGGGAAGAAGACAGGTCGGGTGCTGCACGGCTCTTACCCTAATACTCAGAATCTGAGTAGATCAGGAGGATCTGAGTTCAAAGCCAGCCTGGGCTACACGGTTAGGCTTTGTCTCAGGGATTAAAAAAAAAAGGAAATACAAAGTAGACAGCAATAGATTCAACCATGTTTAAGAAACTCATGAATGATAAAGACATCATTGAACTTATGTGTTGAATTAGCCATTAGGAGACTGGGTTAGGACCCCAAAAGCCAGAGTCTTTTAATTCTAAAATTATCCCAGGTGGATTTTAAGTTTAGTCAGTTTTTTTAATTGCTACACTTATTAACCAGGTGGTGGTGGTGGTGGTGCATGCCTTTAATCCAGTACTCAGGAGTCAGAGGCAAGAGGATGGACCTACATGAGTTCAAGGCCAGCCTGGTCTACAGAGCAAGTTCCAGGACAGCCAGGGCTACACAGAGAAAACCTGTCTTAAAAATAAAACAAAAAAGCAAAAAAAAAATTTGCACTTACTAATTTATTTTGTGTATACAAATATTTTAGTGTAGATGTATATATGTATGGGTGCATGTGTGTGTATGTGTGTATAGGTGTGTGTGTGTATGTGTGTGTAGGTGTGTGTATGGGTGTGTGTAGGTGTGTGTAGATGTGTGTATGGGTGTGTGTGTAGGTGTGTGCGTGCGTGTGTATATGTGTGTGTAGGTGTGTATGAATGCCACAGCTTATGTGTGGAAGTCAGACGGTAACTGATACCTTGTGGGAGTCAGTTCTCTTCTACCATGTGACCCCAGATCGCTGGGTGCATGCATTGTGCACATCATGGTGTGCCAACCTCAGCCTTCAGGTGCAGTCAGAGGACAACTTGAGGGAGTCGTCTCTCTCCCATCACCACGTGGTAGAAGGCCTCATGCAAGCCAGGAAATAAAAATTAAAGCCAAGAAATAATAAATGTTTTAAAAATCCAGTGTTGTTGGACTTGAAAATAAAACCGTACAGAATGGGGTTGGTGGACAGAGACAAAAGGCCTTGGGACCGTTTTAAGCTGAGCAAGGGTCCCAGATTGTGCGTTAGGTCCTTCGTAGCTGCTTGACTTCACATCAGAGCCCAGTAAACCCTGATGCAGATACCATCTGCTCTGGGGTTCAGGAGAGAGAACGCCCAGGGTCTCTGTCTCCAGCTGTCAGTTCCAAAACGTGTCTAGCAGGAGCTTGGGAGAGTAGCAGGGCCACAGGAGAGGGGACCAGATAGCATAGCATCTGGCAGGCTTTTCCGGAATATCGAGAAAGCCTGGGTTATGTCAAAGATTTCAAAGTGGCACAGTTGGTCCCCAGGAGTCGCTACTTGGAAATGCCACCACTTCCCCTTTCCGGTGTATTGAGCAGGCTGTGTGACCTGCAGACCTCATGGCAGACCTCAGCGCTCTGACACTCCCTAGGGAAGGGACCCTGGGTCTGGGACTTCAGATCGTTGCCGTGGGGATTTTTGCTTCTTGTTTTTTCATCTGTGAAATAGAGGTTATAACCTTGAAGGTTGGTTGAAATGGAAAAAAAAAAACCAAAATACCTAAGACGGCTAGGCAGGAGGATCAGGGCTCAAAGGCAGCCATGATTACACAGCCAATTGGAAATCTGTCTGCCACATGGCTGTGTACAACCCTCTGAAATGCCAGTTCAAGCAGGTCTGACACCTTCTTCTGACCTCTGTTGGCACCAGGTACATACATGGTACACGGATAGACTTATAGATAACCACTCATACACATAATATTTTAAAACCAAACTATATTTAATATTTTTATATTTATTTTGTCCTAGTCAGGGTTTCTGTTGCTGTGACGAAACACCATGACCAAAAGCAATGTGTGGAGGAGAGGGTCTGTGTGGCTCACACGTCCCCAGTTCATCATTGAGCAAGTTCAAAGTCAGGACAGGAACTCCCACAGGGCAGGAACCTGGAGGCAGGAGCTGATACAAGGGCCACGCTGCTTTACTGGCTTGCTACGCACGGCTTACTCAACCTGCTTTCTTACAGAAACCCAGGACCGCACCCCCACAATGGGCTGTGTGGTGGCTGAATAGATATGGCCCCCATAAAGTCATGTGTCTGAATGCTTGGCCGTAGGGAATGGCACTGTTAGGATGTATGACCTTACTGGCGTAGGTGAGACCTTGTTAGAGGAAGTGTGTCACTGTGGGGGTGGGCTTTGAGGTCTCAGACACGCTCAATCGTGGTAAACGGTTGCCATCTACTGCCTGAATATCAAGATACAGAGCTCTCAGCTCCTTCTCCAGTACCATGTCTGCCTTCACGCCGCCGTGCTTCTCGCCATGAAGATAACGGGCTAAACTTCTGAAACTGTGAGCCAGCCCCAGTTAAATGTTTCCCTGTTTGTTTTGTTGTTGCTGCTTTGGTTTGGGTTTTTTTGTTTGTTAGGTTGGTTTTTCAAGACAGGTTTCTCTCTGTAACAGTCCTAGCTGTCCTAGAACTCACTTCGTAGATAAGGCTGGTCTCAAACACATAAAGATCCACCTGCCTCTGCCTCCTGAGTGCTGGGATTAAAGGCGTGCGCCACCACCACCACCACCACCCAGCAAATGTTTTATAAGAGTTGCCTTGGTCATGGTCTCTCTTCACAGCAATAGAAAACCTAACTAAGACAGAAGTTGGTACCAGGGATTGGGGTAATGCTGTGATAGGGCTGACCATGATTTTGTTTGGAGGGACTTGGTCTTTGGGACTTTGGGACAGGAAAGTAGTGGAAAGCTTTAAGCCTTGCTTAATGGCCACACCAGTAGGAGTAGGAGCACAGAAGACAGTGGTGCTGAGGGTGATTTGAACTGAGGGGGCCTGGCTCTGGAGGTTTCGGAGGAGAAGAATTTCAGTATGTGGCCTAGAGACTGTTCCTGTCATATTTTGGTAGAAAATGTAGCTGTTTTTTTTGCCTCTGTCCAAAAAGTTTGCTTGAAGGTAAATTGAAGAGTTTTGGATTAATTCCATTGGCAGAGGAAATCTCAAAACAGCCAAGTATAGATTGACCTTGTTGTGTGTGTGGTTACTAGTGTTCACTCTTATACAGGTCTACATTGGAAAAAGAGCAAGCTGAGAAAGGAAAAACACAAAATGTACAATTTGAGGAGAACAGGAAGCAGAATGGAGTTAAACAAATTTAGAAATGGAACAAAAGGAGTGGTAACGTTGGGCAACTAAGTTTCCAACTTGTCAAAAGGAATTAAAGAAAAATTTAGAACCCTATGTAGTGGGGCACACATTTAATCCCAACACTTGGAAAGCAGAGGCAGGCGGATCTTTGAATTCGGCACTGCCTGGTCTACAGATCGAGTTTCAGGACAGCCAGGCTTAGGCAATGAAGGAAACCATGGAAAACAGAAAGCTGGTGAAGATATGATTGAACAGGGGGCTCATGTTCCAGCCCCATCGAGCAGCACAACTTGGCAGCTTTGGCCATATGATCTGGCTTTAGAGTCAAGGACGGAAGAAAGGGGATATGGACTTTCCCTCCTAAACTGAGGAAAGCCACTGGGGCCAGATGTGTGGCACGGGGTGTAGTCATGGAGGCCTAGAGAGGCCACCATGTGTAGCTGTGAAGGTGAAGCCTGGATGCCTTGGAGACCCCAAAATGTTAGAGATGCCAGAGCCATTGGGATATCTGCCAAGGAGAGCTGCTAATGAGTGGAGCCAGCCCAAGAGAAAGAAGTGTGTTGAAGTCAACAAAGCTGAACTGAGTTGGAGATCTGGAGAGTGCTTTGACATCAGACACGGAGATGCAGAGTTTGGAGTTTGCCCAGCTTGTTTTTGGTCTTGCTTTGGCCCAGTATTTCCTCGCTATGCTCCCTTTCCTTCATTTTGAAACAGTAATGTATATCCATTATATGTTGGAAGTACGTGATCTGCTTTTTGATTTTGATTTTATAGGTTACAATTAAGAAATTGAGTTAATCTCAGAAGAGATTTTGAATTTTGAACTTTTAAATATGGTTGAGACTGTGATAGACTATGGGGACATTTGAAGTTGAACTAAATGCATTTTGTACTGTGTTATGGCTATAAGCCTATGGGAGCCAAAGAGTGGAAAATGGTGGTTTGAATAGTTATGACCCCATAGACTCATGTGTTTGGATGTTTGTCGCATAGGAAGTGACATTATTAGGAAGTGTGATGTTGCTGGAGTGGGTGTGGCTTTCTTGGAAGAAGTGTGGGGAGGGGCCTTTGAAGATTTACTTATGCACAAGACATGTCCTTTGTGACACACAGTTGCTTCTGTTGCCTGTGGATCAAGATGTAGAGCTCCCAACTCCTTCTCCAGCACCATGTCTGCCTGCATGCCGCCATGCTGCTCACCATGAAGGTAATGGACTAAACCTCTGAAACTGTAAGCCAGCCCCCATTAAATGTTTTCCTTTGTAAGAATTGCCATGGTCATGGTGTCTCTTCCCAGCAGTGGACACCCTAAGACAGGCTGGACATCTCCCCATTGATCACTAATTAAGAAAATGCTTGGCAGCAACAACTCTCAATCTGTGGGTCGCAACCCTTTAATGGGTTGCCTACGACCGTTGGAAAACACAGACATTTACATCATGATTCATAATAACAAAATTAGTTATGAAGCGAAAATGAAAATAATTTTGTGGTTGGGGGAGTCACCACAACACGAGGAACTGTATTAAAGGGTACAGCATTAGGAAGGTTGAAAACCAGTGATCTAAAGACTTGCCTGCAGCCTGATCTATGGGGGCATTTTCTTAATTGAACTTCCCTCCTCTCGAATGACTTTATCTTGTGTCACGTTGACATAAAACTATCAAGCACATATTGTGTGTGTATATGTGCATGAGCGCTTGCGTGTACACACACATACATGTGGAATTCAGACAACCAGAGGACAACCCGTAGAGCTAGACACTCTTCCCATCATATGGGTCCTAGGGATCAAACTCAAGCGGTCAGGCCTGGCTACAAGTGCCACCCTGCTGGCTCAGAAAATTATTTTACTTCTAAAGGCCAGCTGGCTTGATGACAGGGCCACAGTTCAAGTCCTGCCTAAGCACCTTATCAAGTAACATAGGAAGTGAAAAAGGACTAAAATTCATTCATGCACATGACTGAAACTGTTGAGGAATAAGAAACTAAATTACTAAGAATTAAACTGAAATCTTTCTGGGGACAGTGAGATAGCTCAGTGGGTAAAGACACTTGCCACCAACTCCGCTACCTGAATTTGATACAGAACCCCCATGAGAGAGGCCTGCTGTAGCACACATGTGTGCACACGCATGCACACAAAAATAAAACACAACTGACAAAAAAAATTTTTTTTGGTTTTTACGAGACAGGGTTTCTCTGTTTTGGAGGCTGTCGGTCCAGCCTGGCCTCGAACTCACAGAGATCCGCCTGCCTCTGCCTCCTGAGTGCTGGGATTAAAGGCGTGCGCCACCAACGCCCGGTGACAAAAATTTTTAAAAGAACCATTTCTGTAAAATTAAATTGAAGATAAGAACATTATTTTTTTCCAAAATGGGGGAAAAAACTCCTACAAACTTGTCTCAAAATGACAAAGGGGCGTGCTACAGCTGGAGGTGGAGTGAGTTCTTGCCTGTCACGCTCAAGGATCTAGGTTCAACTCCTACCACTGGGGGGGGGGGAATACTGCATGAGTGTGCACTTGCAGACACACACCAAAACACACACACACACACACACACACACAGCAAACATCGAGTCCCAAACACTCCCCCATTTGTTCTAATGACAAGTCGTCATAAGTCATCAAGAAATATTTATTGAGCACCTGCTTTGGGGTGTGGGGCGGGGCTGAGAACAGGGCCGGACGTGGTCCCTGCTCTTCGGAGGTTTACAGTCTGAGAAGAAACGGGGAGGAGGCCAAAACACATGTGGGGCAGACAGTCTAGAACAGGACGTTACAGAAACAGGGGTGCTTGGGGTCAGTCTTAGTAAGTGCTTCTACACCCACAGAGATTCGGTCCTAGGTAAGGGTCAGCCGCCGCTCTCAATCTCCGGTTAGTTTGAATAGCCCTCCAGGCACCATCTTGGCTTGGCTCCTTGTATATCAGCTGCTCAAAGTACTACGAGAGAGGTCATCGGTGACTTCAGCGGCTGGCACCCTCACCACACACTGGGACCACTGGGGTGCTCACTGCTCTGGGAGGCCTGTCTCACCCCCCAGGGACACACCCTAGAACCACGAGGAGGATGGTTGCCACTGGTGCTACCTTAGGTAGAACCAGGGAACCCTATTTAGTGTACCCTCCAGGTGACCAGAGATGCCTCCTGCTGACCTGGGGGTACTGGGGGTCGGGGAAGGATCTGGAGAGGGGAGAGCAGCAGAGTGCCAGGTAAACCCTCAAAAATAGAGGGGCAGCTAGCAGAGAGACCCACAGAGGAGGCAGGCTCCCCAGGGGTGGCAAAGGGAACCCAGAGTGTGGGGCATTCCCTGTCTTCACAGGTCTGAGTGGGTGTCAAGGGTCAGGACACTACAGCTGTGTCCTAACCGGGCTAAGCCTCATCCCTGTTCTAGGCTGTGACCGCTTGTCGCCTTAGAGGTGACAAGGAGACCCCAACATTCCACTGGGTCGGTCCCCCCTTCAAAGTGCTATTCGGGTCTAAGGATCACCCCATGAGACAGGAGGCAGGGAACCAGGCCATTGAGGGAGAGTCTCGCCCAGACAGGGGATGTGGGGGGCGTGGAGGAGGGTGTAGTTGGCACGAAGCCAGTCCGACCTTCCCTCCAGGCTAGGGAACACAGAGTTTGGGTCGAGAAAGGGCTTAAATAATAGTCTACGTAATAAAAATCCCCAGCAATGAGGGTCCTACCATCCTACTAGTTTAGTTCTTTTAAATAAGTCTAAGGTTGGAGACTGGGGGAGCACAGGCAGAGTATATACAGGACGCGCTTAAATTAAAACACAAAATAATAATTAAGACACACAGAGTGAAGTAAGGGATAAGGCAGAAGGGGTGGGGAGGGCCTCCTGGCCCACTGCAGAAGAGGGTGAGGCCTCCCGTGGGCACATTAGGGCTTCCTCTTGCAAAAGACCAGCCGGCGCTTAGAGTGATAGAAATCTGTGAAGACAGAAACAAATGTCAGGCCAGAGGCAGAGGGGTAAGGACACCCTTCCCCAGAGTCAAAGGGACAGGTGGCTACAGTGGGGGGGGGGGGAGGCCGGCAACTGCACCTCCCTGTAGTCAGAGGGCCTCCAGTCTGCCCAGAACAAAGGGCATTAGATCCCCTAGAGCTGGAGTTCCAGGAGGTCGGGCGCCCCGCCTCGTGAGTGCTGTGAACTGAACTCAGGCCCTCTACAAGAGCAGTAAGTGCTCCCAGTCTGCTGAGCCCTGCCCTCTTATTGCAGTGCTGGGGATGGAGCCTGTGCTGCCGACATGCTATGCCAGCCATCTATTGCAAAGACACACACCCCCACCCCAGCGCTTCCCTGGTGGGTTCTAGGCCTGTGCCCTAACTGCCAAACCCCACTGAGCCTTCCTGTCAATCCAGAGAAAACGCCTGGATCGCGTGCTGTTGTTATCATTATCACCTCTCAGCCCCAGCCCCCCCCACCGAAGGGAAGGCGAGCACTAAGGGAAGGCAAGCACAGCTTGGCGTTGGGGAATGACTGGAATGTTCTCTGCAAAGGCTTTGCTCTAGAGCCAAGTTGTCACGAGCCGAGCCGGGAGTGTTAGTAGCCGATCACTATGGGCTAGCCGGGCTTGGCCACAGACCCGTGCCACCCTCGGCAGATGGCCTCCCTCTGCAGCTCTCCTGCAGGATCCCTCCCTCCTCCCCGTGCCAGTCCGTACCTGTCAGGCTCGTCTGTCTCCGTTTCCGACCCTGAGAGGTTCCGAGCCCACCGGGGGAGTCCTCAGGCCGCTCAGGGGCGTGGGACACCAGAGTGCAGGACAGCGACAGGGCCACGTGGTCGTCGGGGGCCGACCCCTGCAGCAAGGCCGAGGAGGTACCGGGCCGCTTGTCCCCTCCCAGGTCGTCACGGCCACGGGACCCTGGGCTCAGGTAGAGCTTGGGCAGCCCCAGGCCCACAACGCGCTCCCAGACATAGTTGCCCTCCAGCGGCGTCTCAGTGACAAAGTCGAAGTTCCACCGTTCTCGGGCCTCCTGGAGGCAGCCGGCCATGAGCGCATCGCAATCGCGGCTCAACTGCTCACTGTCCACGGGGCCGAAGAGACGGCGGCACACTTTGCTCCTGTGTGGGACGGGGCGGACGTCATCGGGATCCGACATGGTGGTGCCTGCGGGAAACACAAGACGACCCGGGTCGCTATGGAAACCGCACCATAAGTCACAATCTTCCCGCTCCCTCCTGTTCCAGGGGCTTTCCCACCTCCCCGTAGAACCCTCACTGCCACCAAGACACCCAAAGTGGGTGTTGAGTTCAGCCAGCCCTGCACCTAGAAGTCACAGCCGTAGCCAGAGACCAATGCATTGCAGAAGTAGGGTCACAGTCCTGTTTACACCAGGGCTACTAACAGCTAAAAATCAATGTCTTGGGCTAAAGTGCCGTCCTTCATGGGTGTGAACACCCCATATACATGTGAATTGCCAAGGTCCACACCCCCAACCCCTATGCCCCTGGCAGCTGGGCCAGGCCTCAGTCACAATCCTACTGCCCTTGGGGGTAATTCCATCCAACCAATCAAAAGTGCCTTGGAAGCCAGGCATTGGTGGCACTAGGGAGGCAAAGACAGGGGAAATCTCTGTGACTTCGAGGCCAGCCTGGTCTACAAATCGAGTTCCAGGACAGCCAGGGCTACACAGAGAAACCCTATCTCAAAAAACAAACAAACTACAAAAGTGCCCTGGACGTTGGGATAAGACACATTAATGTAGTATCGGCGCTGCTGTTTAGCACCACAGTTAAAAGTGACTCTGTGTCCCTGGCCTCAGTTTCGTAGCATAGCCGTGGCAGCATCCTGGGGTAGCTGGTAAGGCGTCTGGGAAGAGAGGCAAGAACACTGAAACCAGACTGCTGGATCAGAATCAAGACTTTGCTGGGTGACCCCAAATATTTATCTTAACATCTCTGGGCTCTATTCGAGGGCACATTCGAGGAGGAACTAAATCAGTGTAGATGGCCTTTGGAGGCAGTAGAGGTCGCATGACTCTCTGTCCCCATTCTGACAGAACTGCCTTCTCACCCCCCCCAAGTCCTCTGTGCCCCCCACAGCATCCCCTCAAGTGTGCATCTCCTCCTCAGACCACAGTTGACAGGTGCTACCTCCTGGAGGCCTTTCCTAAGGATGCCAGGAGGCAGTAGCCTCAGGGAAAGGAGAGGCTGAAGGGGTGGAGTAGGGCTCCGGCTCTCTCCTGGCTAAGCCACATCCTGCCAGGTGGATCATATAATCTGCAGTCTAGACACCTCCCAAACCTGCCTACAGCCAGGCACAGAAAATCAGAAGTGACGGTTGAGGGATGGAGGGTTACCCGAGGGACCCAAGCAGTTGCTTTCTCTGGTCTGACTCCCGCAGTAGGGGATGTAGGTCCTGAGGAGGACTGGGCTCTCCTGGGCACCCGTCTAACCCTCCAGCCTTTGAGCTTGCAAGGTCGGCCCAGTGGCTCCTAGGCTCTCCCACACTCTCAGCTCCTCAAGACCTCAGGACGCGTTTGCCCAGAGCTGGACACACACATAGGAGTAAGACAGGAAGCCAGAAGAGATGAAGAGACACCCCCAAGGGCTCGACTGGTAAAGCGTGTGCCTAGCAATCAAGACGCTGTCTGTAAAACTGGGTGTGGTGGCACACCCTGTAGCCACAAGAGAAAGCAGAGGTTCAAGGTCAACCTTGGCTACTCCACAGGGAATGAGGCCGGTGTTGTAGGCTAGAGAGTCATTCCTAATATAAATAAGCAAAATGCACCCCCATGCCCGAAACACAGGACTACAGCACTCGGGAGGCAGAGGCAAGAGGATCTCCGTGAGTTCAAGGCCAGCCTGGTCTATATAGTGAGACCCTGATCTCAAAAACAAGCAAACAAACCACAGGACTAAGACAGATGCCCACTGGCCCTGATAGGGAGTTACCTGGTGCCGTGCAATGGACTTCAGATGGCTTCTGCCTAAAGGCAGGACTTGGGGACATTTTCTCGCACAAAGGCTGCTGTAAGCAGTTTACAACCGCCAGTCTTCCTTTTAAAAGGCGATATCCACTAGTTCCTTCTCTCGGTCTTCCCCCACCCCCTTTGGTGCATGTGAGGCAGGGGCTCCCTGTGCAGTCCAAGCTGGCCTGTGAGAGTCATCTCCCTGTCTCCGCCTCCCGTGAGATGCAGATGTGAGCCACACACCTGTTGTTAATAGAGGGCACTACACTTTCTTGCTAGGCAGAGCTAGCCAAGGCACAGGAGTTAAGGTGTCCAAAGTCACAGGGCTCACAAGTTGCATAGCCTGTTTGCTCTACCGCTGAACCATTCATTTTCTCCTCATTCTGAGGGTCACAACCAGAGAGATTCACCAGAACCACCTGGGAAGGTTTTTGCTTTGTTGTTTTTAAATATCGATCGAGCTCCTTGTTATTGGGCATGACTTTAATTCCACTACTCCAGCCAGAGGCAAGTGGACCTCTGTAAGTTCCAGGACAGCCGGGACTATATAGTAAAACCATGTCTCTCTCTCACACTCTCTCTCTCTCTCTCTCTCTCTCTCTCTCTCTCTCTCTCTCTCTCTCTCTCTCTCTCACACACACACACACACACACACACACACACACACACTCACACACGGGGCTGGGGGGGACGGGGACTGACTGGTGGAAACAAGAGTTATTTCCCTAGACAAGCACAAATTTGGTGCACTTCTCCGGAGAGCAACTCATACGGAGGGGCCAGGGAGGGAAAAAGACAGAACACCAATGATCTCGGTGCCCCTTTGGTATGAGGAAGAGGCCTTCTAAACGCTCTGTCGAGAATCTTCTAGGAGCCAAATAAAAGGGCCAGGATCCCTACAGGGGATCTCCAGGGCCACGCCTCCCACAGAGTCCGCTCGCACCCCGTGTTCAAAACCGCTTCTATCAGAAGCCCTCATTTTACAGAGGCAACGTCTTCCTTCGCTGGCCACCGTGCATATTTCAGTTCCCTAAACACAATCCAGTAAGCGAAGGCCTCTCTTTGTGCCGCAGTGGGATGGCAGCGGCCGGTGGCACCACCCGCGCACCGGCGCACAGCCGGCCTTGCTGCTCCCACCGCGGCCGGGAGGGGGCGCTGCGCTCCTGGGGAATGGCGCGCGGTGGGCGGCGCGTGGGCTGAGCAAGGCATGGTGAGTCAGTTTCCTGCCCGGCGCTGCCCGCCCGCCAAAACTGCATGGGCACCGGAGCTGCACGTCACCCTGGGGTGGGGAGGGGAGAAGAAAGGAGGGGGACCTGGGCCGCAAAACACGTCACGATGAGCCTGGGTTTCCTAAACTCCCGCCTATGTTGGGAAACTAGTGCGCGCGCGCTCGCACACACGCGCGCGCGCGCGCACACACACACACACACACACACACACACACACACACAGCAAAGAAAGTGCTCTTAGCTCTGGCCCCCTCCACCTTGATCTCCACGCCCAAAGCACGCGATGAGTCAGATCCCTGGAAAATAAAAATAGACGAGGGCGAGGACAACAAAAACCGCTCGAGTGTCCTCGCTGAAACGAGACGTAGAGGAATGGGAAGGGAGGAAGCCGCCAGCGCACCCCCAAACGCCAAACCCGGAGTCTTAACCGCAGGACCTGGGCAAGGTGTGGCCCTCGTCCCCATGGGCTCCAAGAGAGATGGATGAGCCCTGATGGGCGCACTTAACCTGGCCCGGCCCAGTCATCTTCCCACACCCGGTGCGGACTGGGGGGGGGGGGTCCCAGCCCCCGGGCGGGCGCCTGATATACGGCACCCCGTAAGCCTCTCCGCAGGGATCCCCGCTGCTCTACAGTGTGGGCTCCGCTCGCGCCCCGCGGCCACTAGTCCCCGTCGTGGTGGGCGCGGTGGGTGGCACCCTTTGCGCTTCCCGGACTGGCAGTGTAGACAGGACCCGCCCAAACTCCCTGTCCCCGAGGGCGCGCCACCGAGCGCGGACCGGACACCGCGTCCAGGACCTCCCCGTGTCCCGGGTTCCCTGGGAACATACTGTGCCCGCCAAATAGGTCACTGTGCCGCGCGGGGGAGGGGACGGGCAGGGACCAGGCTGTGCCCGGGCAGGGAAGGGGGTTTCAGGGCTGCCACTGATCCATCCCCAAGCTGGGGCGCGGTTCTGATCTCAACCCAGTACCCAGGGTCTCCTTGTCACAATGAGTCACCTCCTCTCCTGTCCTCCAGGACGTGCCCAGGCACGTCCCCGAGGGCGGAGGACACAGCCCGCGCTGACCTCAGCGCCCAGCGGGGTAGTGACTACGACGGAGCAGGACCCCTGGACCACACCGACCCGGCACCGGGCGGCACGCGTGGGATCGGAGAGCCGATCTGTGCCGGACCCCAGGTGGACTCCCGGCAACTGGTCCCCGCCGCCCCGGGCCTCTCTCGGGACACCGGCTTCGTTCTCACGCCTTCGGCGAGCCGCACCTGGCATCCCTAAAAGCACCGGCAGCAAGAAGCTCCGAGGAGCGGGCCCCCGTCAGCCATGGCCCAGGCCGGGTATCCAAGAACTGGGAGTGACAGCCATCCCTGGTCCTGGAACTCGGGTTCTGCATGCGGAGTTCGCCACACAGCCTGATCCTCGCCACACTCCAAGTCGGTGGCCACCACGGACGCGCCCAGGCCCACACCCGTCATCCACCTGCCGCGAGCACACCTGTGAACTTGGCGGGCGCACACACACACACACACACACACACACACACCAGTGACACACCCATCGCCGCACACAGCCGCACACAAACACTTCTGGGGACACGGGGAGCTCAGCGCAAGGCTGGCCCCGGGGAACCACTGCTCCCTGCCGCGACGCCGCTCTCACCTCACCTCCGAACAATATCGCTGTGGCTCTCTGCGCCTGGCTCCGAGTCCCCCGGGCTGTGACAGCACAGCAGCTCGCACCTCTCTGGCTGGTACGGGTGGCTTCCAGCAGCCCTTTTATAAAAGCATCGGCTCAGCCCCGCCCCGGCCCGCCTTGGAGGCAGGACCAGCCGCTCCCTCACCCATCCCCGCGCCGTGCTGGCCCGCCCTCCCCTCCGGGAATCCAAAGCCCGCGCCTGACCTGGCTCCAGACGGCCCGAACCCCGCGCGCGGCAACAGGGCGCGCCCTCCCTCCCCTCCCCCCACGCCTGGTTGTTTGCTGGCCTCGCAGCCCGCCAACGAAGCCACACACATCCATGCACAGCACTACTGTTAAGGCTGAGCGTTTACGGGTCTGTGCCTGACCAACTCTGGGAAGGATTTAGATGACGTTCATAAATAAAAACCTGGGCCTGGGGCAGTGGGTCAGTAGGTACCGGGCTTGCCCGGCTTGCCGGAAGTCCTAGGTTGGATCCCCAGTGCCTCATAAACGGGGCATGAGGGTTCCCATCTGTAATATCAGCGCTGGGGAGGTGGAGACAGGAATGGAGGCCAGCCTGAGAGATATGTGAGACTGTTTCTAATATAAATAAAAAATAATAATGATAAATCAACGGCCAAGCTGAGTGTGACGGCAAAAGACTAGAGTCCTAGCCCTTGGAAGACTGAGGCAGGGAGAGTGTGATTGGTTCGAGGCCAGCCTGGGCTACACAGTCAGACCTTCTCAAAACAACGAAATCCACAGATAATAGAAAACGATGAGCCTTTCTTTGAAATTCCCAGGAATCCCACTATTCCTGGAGATCTTCCCTCAGTGGGTCCCCTTTCCCAGAAGCACCTGCGGCATCCAGACACCCCAACAGAGCATCTTGGGTTCAGAATGCTGACTTATCCTCTTCATCCCAGAGACGAGGAAAAGAGGACCACCGAAGTAAGCGACAGCCACCGCCTCTGACCCAGAGGACACTGAGTCCAGTTCCCGGAAAAGGCACTGGTTACCAGGGAACGCAGCGGCTCTCCCTCCCCTTCGCCTCGGAAGAAGCCGGTGTGCCGACATTTTTTCACACAGCTGACACATACTACAAGGGGAAACTAAGGCTCAGAGAGGCCCAAGACCTGATTCCGACGATGCAGCCAAGTCCCCCTGCTTGGTCTCTGGAGCGCTGCCCAGAGCTCTCTGCTTACCGGTGTCTATTTCTGGGTCCAAAGTGGGGTGACATCAATAAAGGACAATTCTAGAAATATCTACTGATGTTCCTGACAGACCAGAGAGGTGTCATCAATTGCCACCTCCCTTCTTGCTTTATTTGCCTGCTAATCAGTTTCATTTTGTCCTGCTTTGGGGTTTTTGAAACAATGTCTTGCTTTGTAACCCAAGGTGGCCGCAGATGCAAGGCAATCCTCCTACCTTAACCTTCTTCCTGGGGGTCTGAACCACCACCCAGCGGTTGGGGGTTTTCTTTAGTCTTGTTATGCGGTCCAGCCTGATCACACAGGCTACTTAGCAAGACCCCCCCCCCATCTCAGCTGGGCATAATACATATCTATAATCCCAGCACGTGGGAGGCAGGGAGATTTGGATCTCAAGGCCAGCCTGTGTTACATGAGACCCCATCACAACCAATCAGATCTGGGGATGTAGCTCAGTAGAGTGCTTGCCTAACAGTTAGGAAGCCCTGAGTTCAATTCCCACTACAGCATTAACTGGATGTGATGGCATGTGCCTGTAAATCCAGCCCTCGGGTGGCAGAAGGGTCAGTAATTCACCAGGACCACCCCCAGCTACTCATAGCAAGTCTGAGGCTGGCCTGGGTTACAAGAGGCCCTGCCTCAAAAATGGACCCCTCTCTCAAAACAAATGAACAGAAACAAACAAACAAAAAATTCAAACGCAGAGAAGGGAGCCTTAATCTCAAGAGAAATCTCAGTTAAGAGACTAGACTCCTGCTTTGGAGTAAGTGCTCACATCTCCTGCTTTTGGATGCTAGAAATCACTGCCCAGACATGCCCGTCTTCCTCTTCTGATTTAGCTGACCTAAGGAGGACAGACCTCCTCCTCTGAGGTGGGGGATGGGACTCTGGGAAGGGGGTGGGGCACCCTTCCAACCCCCTCCACAGCGGCCTCTGGGCTGTAGCCAGGACTACAGTCAATCCTCAGGACCACTCCCACAACACCCCAGCTCCTGAACCATCTCCTCCCTGCATCCAGGTCGTCCCAGGGCTGGACTGTCACGGGCCAGGACAGGATGTCCAACTGCTCAAATCCCTTTGGCCTCCAGGCATTTCAGATAGACGTGACATTGTCTGCCTGTTTACTTTGGGAGAAAACAGTTTTTAATAAAGGCTTGTAGTGAATTGCTGAGGGCTGTGACCTCCTGTGCCTTTGTCCTGTTGACGTTGGGGAGATTTTTAAAATAACTTCTGGCTTCCCGGGGCACCACAGAAGTACTCAACAAATATTTATTAAGTCTAAGGCTGCTCGGGCTTTCTAACAAACAGAGCTGGCCTTGCATTTGAATGTATAGTGAGGCACACAGTTGGAGGACCCCTTCAGTCCCCTTAAAGGGACAAAGGGACACAGTCACCGGCACAGTACCTGACCCCCAGGCACAGACAGACACAGGCACAAAAGCACTCTTCACCAGTGACATGTCACAAGACACGTGCCATCTTCTAGTCTGCTGCCAGGAGCTCAGGCTTGCAGGGTGGGGCACCCCTAGGCTGTCTGGGGTCTCTGTGTCTTTTCATGCCCCCCCCCCATCCCTCAGCAGGCAGTTTTGTGTCCTCAAGTCCCCACGTCCCTGCACGAAGCAGCCCCACCTCTCCAGTTCCAGGGCTGGGACATGCCAAGACATGTTCCCAAAGGCCAGAAAGCTAGTCCCGACCCACCACAGGCCTCTGCTCCGATCTGTTGCTGGTCTCAGAGAAAGGACAGCCCGGGATACAACCTTGCAGGACCCCCTGGGACTGGTAGAAAGGAAATGAGGGACCAGGGCTGAAGGAGGCCGTGAGGAAGGCTCCACATTAGGGGCTGGAGCTAGCCAGGAAGAGAGAGGAAGTGTGGGGACCATATCTCTGTTTCTCAGAAAAGGCCTGGGGAGTCCCGAACAGGGACAGTCAGATTTCAGAAGAAATCACCTCCACACAGACTCCCAAGAAGGGCCATCCCAGAACAAAGACAGAACAGAAAATAGCTTCAGCACCAGTGTCTGAGCAGGGCGAATCAGATCCCTGAGAAATCCAAGGCAGGGTGGATGCTTCTGAAACATAGCCAGCCTCCCACAACTGAGTTCTACCATTGGAAATGTGTTCTGCTTGGGCTCTGGGGCTCCGTAGGTAAAGTTGCTGGCTTTGCAAGTGCAGAACCTGAGCTCAGTCCCCCTGCACCCACCGGAAAGGCTCAGGCCTGGCCACAGGCTCTTATAATCCCAGAGCCGAGGAGCTGGAGACAGGAGGGTTGGTGGGACTCCCTGGCCAGCTGTCAGCTAGTCTAGTCAGTGAGCTCCAGGCTAATATTAGACTCTTAAAAAACAAGGTGGCACCGGGCAGTGGCGGCTCAATCCTTTAATACCAACACTCAGGTGGCAGAGACAGGCAGATTTCTGTAAGTTCCAGGCCAACTTTGTCTACTGATTGAGTTCCAGGACAGCCTCCAAAGCTACAGAGAAACCCTGTCTCGGAAAAAAGAAAGACAGAAAGGAAGAAAGAAAGAGGGAGGGAGGAGGAAAGAGGAAGCTGGGGTGTGTGATTCCATTGATTGGAGCCAGTCATGGGGTCTTGTCTAATCTGCAGTGGGAGGGCATTATTGTCTAGGCCACGTGTGGCACAATGATGGCTTTATTTGTTTGTTTATTTAGTTTTGGTTTTCCGAGACAGGGTTTCTCTATGCAGTCCTGGCTGTGCTGGAACTCACGTTGTAGACCATGCTGGCCTTGAACTCAGAGTTTTGCTTGCCTCTACCTTCCAAGTACTGGGATTAAAGGTGTGCTCCACTATTGCCCAGCCAATGATTACTTTAAATGGTTAAACATAAGAGATCAGTGCAGAATGGTAAATATGGTCTGATAGTACCGTCTACTTTCTAGTCTGGATAGTAAAAGCTTATGGTATCATTTCTGTGAACAAATGAATCGATGTATGATTAAATGAACAGTCTCCTTGAAGCTAAAAATGGGCCGCCCTTAAACATTCATGAACTTCAAACGGAGGTTGCCAGGCCCCACAGGTACAAAAATGAATAAAACACGATCTCTTCGTGGGGCTT